TGTGAACAAACACCCCATGCTTAAGTTCCCAGGAGCATATTCCTCTCCAGTGTGATGAATTAATAAATTCTGCAATGTATTTAACATTTTATTCATCAGGCTCTCATCTCCCTTAAGATTCATCTTAAGGAATCATTCCTTGGATGATTCTTCCATCCTTAGGAGCAGTGCAGTGACTGAGGGGGTGTGAGGTGGGTAAATTGGTGATGGAAACCTTGGGCATTTCCTTTGGGATCACATTTACCCAGAGCACTGTGCTGGGCCACGGAGGTTTGGAGGATTTCTTTGCACTGTGGAATTTTATTGGAACTTGCCCTTCCTCTTGTTTGATCCTGGCTTTGTAAAATGTATACACAGAAAGGTATCTGCATGATGTTCCTTTACCATTAAATAAAACCTAAATATAAATAAAACATAATAATAAATGTATATTTTATTTAATAAATAAAACAACGTTGCTTTGACTCTTTAAATTAGGCCTGGAAATTTTAGTTCTGGAGGTGCAGATAATGCTTGTTGTGCCTGGACACTCTTTAGACTGTTCTTGGTGGTCAAGGAGCATTTTTTCTATCTTTTACTTGTGTTTTGCACCACAAATTAATAACTCTTTTGAGGCATGTACTCCAGATTAATTTCTCTATCACAGAAGAATACCCCCAGTTGATGACTTTGAACCCAAACCATTGATTCCTTCGTGTGTAAAGATCTGTTTTACTAAAATACTGTTTAAAAAAATGGCCCCCACCTCTAAGAACATCTTTGGTTAATACTGGAACTTTCTTGGCAAGCTGATTTTCAAACATTTTCAGTGATGATACCAAAGTAGTGCATGGTCATCTTTGTGGGATGTAATAACTGTGAGCAGTGTCTGGTGTTCCCTGTCTGGAGACAACCCCGTGTCAGGTTGGGGGTAGAGGGAACTGTTAATAGATCAGCTGCAAGAACTGAACTAAATACCAGCAGGTTGTAACCTGGATTCTAACTTGGTGTGTTTGGGCTGTATCTTTGGGGAAAAAAAAAAAAAAAAGACATTTCAGTTTACTGTTGGTGGTGTGTGTGTTGTCAGTGCCTGATTGTCTCGTTGGCTGTGAGGTCAATAAACTGCACCACTGTGTTCCCATTGCCACATCCAAATAAAGCCTCCTGTGAACAGCAGCTTTCCTCTTCTTGTGATTCCCTGTTTTAGATTATTGTACAGTGCAGCAGATTTACACAGAAGCAGTGCTGGGGGCAAGGTGTGGCACTGCTGGGGCACCCCAGGGTGGGTGAGGAGCTGCTGCTTGGCTGCAGGTGACACCGAGAGCCCCGAGGAGGAGGAATCCCAGTGGCTGCTGTCGCTCAGGGAGTGGGCACTGCACCACCCTGGGATCAGTTCAGCCTCCATGTCCCATGGCAGCAGGATTCACCCCCATCCCAGGATTTCCTTGCAGTTCTGGGGAGGATGTTCACAACCCTGTGGTCTGTGGCAGCTTTGTGACTGCTCCATGAAGTGCTGCCGGTCCCAGGAGCAGGGGCAGGACAACAGAAAATGTACAGATGCTCCTGTGAACTGTCTGCACCCTCCTTGGATTGACTGGCAGCAGAAACTCCAGCTTGGCAATGGATACCTGGATTTGTGTCTGTAGGAAGATGGGAGACTGTTTAGACTTGTGTGGTGTCCCCACTTCTGTGCTTGCTTCTGTCAGACTGCTTTGATGCTGCAGGTGGGACAATGATACGAGAGTGCCTTGGAACCAGCAACGTTTGGAGTATTTAGAGATGTTTTTGAGTGAGTAAGTTGAGGTATGGTGACAAAAACTTTCTCTCCAAGCCAGTGTGTTGTGGTACCTGTGAGCTCTCCTTGGAGCCAGGTTGATAGTTGTAACCTGGGATTTGGGGAGGGTGATGATGGGGTTACACTTTGGGTTTAGCAGTGCCAGGGGTGGGGGACTCTGGACTTAAATACCCTTTAGAAACTTGTAAAGGTACTGATGTGACCCAGGTGGGCTGAGCTTGCTGCTGATGTCACATCTCCCTGAGAAGGTGTCGTTGGAATTGGAGGTGGGAGGGAGCAGCTGGACCTCAAACTTCCCAAAATCCCCTTAAACTGCTGTGTAACACTTCCCCTGAAGTTAGTTACTGAACTGGTCCTGTTTAAAAATGCTAAAATAGGATTAAGATGGCAGTTAAGAAAAGGAAATTAGGCTGCTTGATCTTTTCCAGAGAGTTCAGAAACCCCTGCTTTTGTCTGAGGCTGGAGTAAAAACATTCAGTGCTTAACTTGGAAAAGCTCTTGGAGAGCAGTAGTAAAGCTCCAGAGTGGGGCTGGATGACTTCAGGAGCCTTGCATGGAATAAATAAGATTTGTTTTCTGTGGCTGTCATTAGGGTTGGCTGGAAGGGATTATCACAGATGACTCAAAGCAGATGTTCTGCAGGAAACTTTCGAGTGAATTGCTCTGTGCCAGTTGACGCTCCCGGCACGGGAACAGCTTGGGATGGTTGGGAACGCTCTGTAAGTTATTCTGAGCTGTTCCCTGAGAGCTCCCAAATGCAGATCCCGGGGTTGCTTCCTGGCTGTTGTTTTGGGGGTGCTCAGGGGGGCAGGGCAAGCAGACAAAGGCAACTAGAAAATAAAATGTAAGTTCTTGAGACTTGTGCAGTTCCACTCCTGAGCAGTGTCTGGAGAATTCCCTGTCCTACTGTGCATCCAAAAAGCACCTTTAACAGCCCTTTGTGTCAATAAATCAACATTTCTGGTGCAGTAGGAAGGCCCTGGTAGGTTTTGTAGCATCGGTCTCATGATGGTTTTGTGACTTATATGAATTTTATTAAGCCAGTGACAGCTGGTTTAAGGTAAAGATACAGATGTGCAATAATCCTGTTATCCCAACAGGTGTCTTCTCATGGAATGGGTGATACTTGGAGTGCTTTGGGAGGTCGTCTTGCTTCCATCACTGTTTAACTGTACCCCAAGAAACTTCACAGTCTGTGTTATTCTAAAATAGGCAATTTTGTTTTCATTATAAACTCTTTATGGCAGTTTCATTGAAATATTCCGAGAAAACCACTGAGGGAGCGGGGAGAAGTTGTTGAACCCGTCTGAACTTTGTATTTATTTATTTGTAAAGAACCAGACTTTCCCACAGGTGAAAATCAGAGGAGCCTCTTGCAGTTGTGTGGGGTGTGAGATGTTGGAACCTTCGTGCTCTGAACTGCTGACAAATGTGTGAGGAATCCCAGAGGGGTGGTTTGTGCTTGGGGAGGAGTTGAGTGGTGCAAGGCCACTTTCACTGTCCTTAATTGGCACCACATGCCCCCAGAAGAGGGAGGGAAGTCCCAGCCTGTCAGTCCTGGTGTGGACCCAGGCCCTGGGAGGTGATTTTATCATTTGGGGGATCCATTTATTGAACAAAGGCAAAGCAGTGACTGGAAACTCCCTGAGCAGTTCCATCTTTCTGTAGGTGTGTGTACACACATCATCCCTTTCCCCTTCCTGCCAGGCTGATAATCTTTTTTTTTTTTTTCCCATCAGTTTGTCATTTAGATAATGAATTTTTGGGGATTACCAGTAACTGCAGAAATAGTTGGACCAATTACTGGTGTGTGCAATGCAGAGCCTTTTGCACCCTGGTAGTTCAGAGTCTGAAATATGTGTTGGGAAGGAGAGTATCATGTTTGACAAGTTTAAAAATGTGTCTGGAAAACTCCCAGAACTGAGCATTAACTGTTCTAAGGGCTCTGGTGCTAGAAACTAAAAAAATAAAAAACCAACAAACCCAAGCCTGTTGTTCTGTATTAGTTAAACTGTCCTTCCTGGGCACTGAGGGCAGGGCAAGGATCAAAACATGGAATAAAGTCAGGGCGCTGAAGTGAAATAGTGAAATCTAAACTGTGTCAGAAGAGGTGCTAGTGCTGCTCTAAGGGTTGAGCAGAGTTCTACCAGGCCTGACCTCGTGGTAGGGCTGTAAATACCTGCAGACACGACAAGGTTCAGTGAAGAAAGAACCAGGATTAATTAATTAATCTTTGGCCTGAAGTTGATTTCCCAGCCTGTAAGAGTTAGAATCATTCAGAGCCTGTATAGACTTAAATATATCAGTTCTTCTGAACCATGTAAATGGTTCTTCTGTTGTATCTTAAGGGAAGGGTAGAACTGGTTTGAAAAAGCCCATTCTTACGAAGTTTGATCTTTTTAAAATGAAGGATCCTGCAGGGCAGTGTGGCTGAGGGGGCAGAGCTGCCTGCTGATGCTCCTGATCGGGCTTGAGGGTGATGTGGGATCCCTCTTGCTGAGAGGTTTTTCTCACATGCACTTCGTGTCCAGTTGAGTCACAAATGCAATTAAGCAATAAATGAGACTGTGATTCAAGTTTCCCTGTGCTTATCTCTTAAATCTGTCTCCAAAGGTGAATGAGAAATTCCAGGTTTCAGTGCTTGTAACGACAGGTAATGGAAATTAGGGATCTCTGTGTAGGATCATCAGCTTGTTTAGGTCGGAAAAGCTCTCTAAGATTACTGAGTTCACCCCTAAACCATGTCCTTAAAACGTGGATCTTGCGTGTTCCTTGTGGAAATGATTCAAATGATTCAAACTGTTAAAATCCCGCGTGTGCTGAGGGTGCTCAGATCGCAGGGGCTGTGTGTGTGTGTGTGTGTGTGTGTGTGTGTGTGCAGCTCACCCGTGGGGCTGAAATGCTGCAGTGCAGCCTGTGGGAAACCCTGATGGTCACTTTTTGAGGGTGATGTTGTGGCTTGTGCAGTTCCTCCTCCCTTTGTCACCCCCAACACAGCACGGGGGTCCCGGGGTTGTGGAGTGGCTGTGAGGAGCCACGACCGGTGTGGACAACGATCTGGGGACACCTGCTGGGCACAACCCTGGCCCAGGAGCCTCTGGACACTCGTGGGGTGCAGCCCCAGGGAGCAGCGATGCTGTAAATGAAGCTGTCCAGCAGTGACTCCTGTAAAGCTGAAGCAGTGCCTAAAAAAATCCAGATTTCCCCTGGGAGTGGCTGCTGCTCTTGGTCCACTGAGCACTTGTTTTCCGTTAGGACAATTGATTGATGCTCTGCCCAGGGGTCTCAGAACTTTGCTGCTGAGTCCCAGCTGTTTAAATGCGAAGGTTTCCTTGAGTTTTACATAAGAGGGTGTTTGTTACAGCTCCTGCAGTTTCCAACTAGGCCAGGAAAGTGTCCTTGTCCCTATTTCTTGAACAATCAGCTCCCCAAAGCCAGACAGTCTGAGAGCAGTTTGTGATTAAGGCTCCCAGCAATTACAAAGTGGAAGGTCTTAAATTACATTTGATAAGTAAGACCTGTAGATGAAACATGGAGTGACTTTCTGTTCCTTGTTGCAGATCCATAACATGGTGGCAGTGCTGGAAGTGATCTCCAGCCTGGAGAAATACCCCATAACCAAAGAGGCACTTGAGGTATGTCATGCTCTGATCATGATTTCTGTGTGTGTACGGAAGGACTTTTCTCTGCCTTTCTGATTTCCATTGGAGCTTGTCTGGGAACAATAGCTGGATTGCAAAGGATTCACAATTCAGATGTTATTTTGTCCCTCTCGTGCTGCTTCCTGCATGTGGCTGAACACAGGGATCCTTTCTGGGCCAGCTCAGTGTTCTGGCAGCACAGTTCCTGTTTGTGCAGTCATCAGCACTCGCCGCTGATGGATTTGGGTGCCTTCAGCACCGGAACTGCAATTCTGGTCACCTCTGTAGGTGTTTGGCGACCAAGCACCAGAAATCCAGAATAGGAATATAGTTGCTGTGTTCTATAAAATCAATCTTAAATTCATCTCAGCAGGTTTCAACACCTGATCCTTTTAGTGTCAGAGAGCTGCAGCCTCACTGGCCACTGGTAGGAACAGCCCGAAGAAGTTTTATGGCTGATTTATATATATATATATATATATTATTTTTTTCACTCTTTGTATTGAAATGAGCAGCGTTCCTTGCTTTTAACTGTTGCTTAATTACAACTCCACCTGTTATTTCAACATATGTATCCCAACAGGTTGCATATTTCTCTCACAGGCTGGTCTGTGTTCTCCTTTGAAGTCCTTTTCTTAAGTAATCTTGACTTGTGGAACAAATTCTTTGGTTTCAAATGTGCTTTGGGAACAATCAAACACTTCGCTGCCTTCTGCTCACCAAACCACTTTGGGACACCCCAGGAATTGTTGTTTAAATGGCTCTTCCAAGTGTTCCCAAAACACTGGGGAGTGAAGGGACAGGTGGAGGAGGAAGGTAGGACATGTCACACCTGGCAGTCAACTTTATCAGAAGGACATTTTTATTGTTAATTGTTGCTGTAACAGGCAAAGACCCTGGAATTCTCTTCTCTTGGCTCTTCCTGCAGATCTTAAGACTTTCACTTTCACACTCAAATTTTGGGTGCTGCATCTGAACTCACACCTTACTCTCGATGTTCTTTCTCATTAAAGAATTCCTTCCTGATGTTTTTCCCAGCTCAGGGAATAAAACCTTTCAACCCACAGCTGTTTTCACGTTGAGTGGCCGAGCTCTGGACTAATCCCTTCCAAAAAAAGATTAATTCAGCCCTTAAATCTCGAGTGTTTTTACCCAGGTATTTCTCAGGGTGAGCAAAAGCAGAAACATCCCTTTAAGAGTTTGTTTGTTTGTTTGTTTGTTTTTCTTGGGGTGATACCTGTTTGTAAAACACCTTGTGTGTCTTTGTAGGAAACAAGACTCGGGAGGCTCATCAACGAGGTGAGGAAGAAGACATCCAATGAGGAACTCGCCAAACGTGCCAAGAAATTGTTGCGGAATTGGCAGAAGTTGATCGAACCCGTGACCCAGAATGACCCCGTGCCAAGAGGGCTCCCCAATCCACCTGGCTCGGCGAATGGAGGTGCTCACAACTGCAAACCAGAGACACAACTCCCCGCTGTGGCTGGAGCCAAGCCCATCAGCGAGCTGAAAAGCAGGAACGACATCCAGAAACTGAATTCTCCCAAAGCGGAGAAACTGGGAAACCGCAAAAGGAAAGGCGAGCACAGGGACGGGCAGCAGGGCCCTCCTCTCCCCAAAGTCTCCAAAGCTAGTCATGAAGTATTACAGAACTCTTCACCCCCTCCAACAAACGGCATTGGAGGTAGTCCTGAAAATTTTCCCAGTCCTGTAGATGTAAATCTACACGCGGGGCCCGAGAGCAGCAGGACAGAACTCAGTGAAAATGATAAACACACTAAGATCCCAGTAAACGCTGTCAGACCTCACACCAGTTCTCCAGGACTTGTAAAACCTTCAAGCACTTCCTCCTTGCTAAAGACTGCAGTGCTTCAGCAGCATGATAAATCAGAAGAGACCACGGGCCCTCACCAGCCCAAGAGCCCTCGCTGCTCCTCCTTCAGCCCCAGGAACGTCAGGCAGGAGACTTTTGCTCGGCAGCACAGCACGTACTCACCAAAGGATTCGACGCCCAGTCCGTCTCAGAGGTCTCAGTTCTCGGACGCTGCACAGGTGCCATCGCCACCGCCATCCCTGATGCAACCACCCACACCTCCACTGCCAGCCAAGAGGCTGGAGCTCCCCCAGCCCTCCGCCACCGAGGCCCCCCAGCACTGGCAGGAGCAGCAGGTCCCTCCCGAGGGGCACAGGCACCCGGCGGGGACCCTCCACGCACCTCCCACCTGCAAGGCTGGCGCCCACCCCGGGGAGCCGCTCCTGCCACACGTGGGCTTCCCGCAGGACGCTTCCAAAATGGACAGTGACGATGCTGCTTCAGGGTCTGAGAGTAAAAAGAAGAAAAGGTACCGGCCCAGAGACTACACGGTCAACTTGGATGGGCACGTAACGGAAGGGGGGGTGAAACCTGTGAGGTTAAAAGAGAGAAAACTCACTTTTGATCCCATGACAGGACAGATAAAACCTTTAACACCGAAAGATCCTTTGCAGGTAGAAATGCCTGCGCTCACTGAACAGCACAGGACAGAAACGGAAAAGCAGGAGCAAAAACCCAACCTGCAAAGCCCTTTTGAACAAACGAACTGGAAAGAGTTGTCCAGAAACGAAATCATTCAGTCCTATTTAAACAGACAGAGTAGCTTGCTGTCCTCATCAGGAGTACAGACTCCAGGAGCTCACTACTTCATGTCTGAGTATTTAAAGCAGGAGGAAAGCACTAGAAAAGAGGCTAGAAAGACTCACGTTCTAGCTCCCAACAGCAAACCTACAGACTTGCCCGGGGTCACCAGGGAGGTCACGGGCGATGACCTCGACAGGATACGTGACCACAACTGGCCGGGCGTGAACGGTTGTTACGACACACAGGGTAACTGGTATGATTGGACACAGTGCATATCCTTAGATCCACACGGGGATGATGGGAGGTTGAACATCCTGCCTTACGTCTGCCTAGACTGAGAGCAGGTTTTGGTTGCTTAAACCCCTGCTTTTTTTTTTAAAAACACCTGCAGTTGGCAAAACTGGCAGACAACAAAATGCCACTTCCAGCTGGAGAGAGACAGAGAGTGAGAGAGAAAGAGAGAACCTCCTGTCCTGGACAAACAGGCCCCACGAGCAGAGGGGGGGGGAGGGAGCTGGGCCTTTCCAGCTCGTTCCTTTAAATTCTCCTTTTGTGAAATGCTGCTACCAGTTTACTAACAATTGCAAAAGAAGGCATATAACGAAGGTTGATCAGTGAGTTCAAAACTCTAGAGCCAGCCAGCTATAAAAAGTATTAGTCCCCAAGAAGTGAAGAGGATTTCCAGCACTTTCTGAATGCCGGAATCTTAGTACAGGCAGGTACAGAGAAAATTGTGGAAGTTACCTTAACAAAATATGCATCTATTTATTTGACTTGATTTGGGTTTTTTTTTGTTTTGTTTTGTTTTTTTTGTTTTTATTATTTGGCAGTGAGATATTGGAGAGACAAATGTGCAAAAACTGTAGTTTTTATTTCTATCACATCTCTGGACACGATTGCGTTGGTCTAAAGTCATGTGGTACACGGAGATTGGGTTTTAAACCAGCAGGTGTTGCACTGCAGGCTGGGCCTCCAGCTTCAGCTCAACATTCCATAGGCATCCACATCCTTTAGTCTGGTTTCAGTTTAAATCCAGTCTCTGAGAAATGCTGCAAAAACTAGATGTTTAACGATATTTTTTGATCCCACCACCACCAGCCAAATATTTTTCCTCCTTTTCCCTTCCTGCAAAACTTCTAGGTATTAAAAAAAAAACAACAAAAAAACCACAAAAAAAATAAAAAAACAAACAAACAAAAAAAAGGACAAAAAATAATTAAAAAAAAAAGAAAAATCACCTTTTCTAGAATCTAAATGTAATGAGGGTGCTACAAGTTTGTAACTGTACTGTGAGAGGGAAAAAGGAAGCCTGTTTGTATGCTGGAAATATACTTGTTACCATTCCTTTAGATATTGTTTGCCTTATGGATATCCATCATAAACGCAATTTGCAAAAACAAAGAGCCTTAGTGAATGTACAGTAACTAGACTTCTGTGTTCCTGGGATGCAGAAGGGAGCAACTTTGCTATTTGGTCCTTTAAGTGGACACGTTGTGATATAAATGTGGAAATAAAAAAAATTTGCACAAAACAGTTTGTGAACTATTTGTATTTCACTCATTTATTTTTTTTCCTCCCCCCCCTTCCCCTTCCAAGTTTGCTCAGTTCAGCCCAGCCAAGGGCCCCTTGACCCTGGGAATCCCTTGGAGCAGTTTGGTGAAGCCAAATCCTGTGGACACTGCTGAGAGCAGCTCTTAGGGATGTGTGGGACGTCTTCCAAGTACCTTGGTTGGTGTTCAGTCATACAGGTTGGATTTTGGTGTGAACTCTGGAGGGCTGATAACCCGCCTGCTGTTAATGTACCTCAAAGTCTAAAGGGATCAGAGCTGATTTTCTTGTTTCAGTGACTTTGTAATGTTTTATTGCTCTTTCTAAAGCAGCCTGGGTGTAGGAAGTGAAGGATTTTAATACCTGTCATTGCTTTAACATTTGGCATTGCTGTTTTCTGCAGTCCCCAGTGCTGGGCTGCTGTCCAGGGGAACAGGGGAGGGGGACACTGTACCAAAAATATTTCCAATTTTAGTGATGTTGATGCTGTTAACCCATTCTGGTTGTCACAGAAGAGGGTTCTCCTGACCACATTAAGTTGCTTCATTCCCTGGAATACAACTGATGAGGTTTGGTTTATTTTCCAGTCATTCTTGTTCAAACCTACTTGCTTTTGTGATCTGACAGCTGCTGAAACGTGTGGGTGTCTCAGAAACCTGATGTCTGTGTGCTTCCACTCCTGAAATCTGAGGTCTGGGAGTGAAAAGTGGTTACCAAAAAAATGCTTCCAAGTGTGTTTTCAGTTTACTTCCATTTTGTTGTTCTGCAGTTGCTGAGGTGGGGCCAGTGTGGTTTGCAGTTGGGGAGAGCTCCTGTCTTGCAGTTCAGAGTGGTAGATTTGATGGCAGAGGGATGAGCTGCTGGTCACTTTGGAAACGCTTGAGTTTTGTTTATGTAAAAAAATGCTGTGTATCTTCTCTCCCTCTGCCCCTCCTTCCCTGAATGATCCCATTTAGGAACAGGGTCTGTGCTCTTTTGAGGCCTTTAAATTGCGTTACAGTTGATAAAACTCCATCTTTTCTCCACTGCAACCCTTGAGGACCACGCTGGGTGAGGTTCATCAAAGCTTTCAGATTATGTCCAGCAAACCGCTGATGTTCAGTCGCTTGAGGGAGCATCAGGAATCAGACCTGGCTCTTTCCCTGTGGTACAAAACCGCTGGAGAAGCTCCTTCCCAGTGCAAGCTTTAAATCTTGTTCCATGCCGAGTTTGTTGCTGCTGTTAAAGGTCAACTCACTTGGTGTCATCCAGGGTGAGCCGAGGCTTGACAATCTTTATTTCAGCATGCCAGTATAACCAGTTCTGTGAGCTCCAACAAATGTGAATAAGTTTACAAGGTGATATTTTTTTGTCAATTTTGTAAACAAGTTCAAATGAAGTTTTACCATGTGCGTACCTGCTGTGGACTCTCATTTGTGCATGACTCCGTTTCTGCTCTCTCCTACCTCTCTCGCAACATTTATATCCTTCTAATCCTAAAACCTGAAGTTGAGGCGCTGCCATTTCTTCCTTGTCAGTGGACGGCACGAAATGGCTCATCAGCAAAACCTTTTGGGAACCGCCGTTAACTGAAGTGCATGTTTCCATCGGTACTAATAACGCTGCCAAAGTGTCTTTTGACAGAGCGCGCGGATGAGCCGGGCTCTAGACCCGCTCCTGCCTGCCAGGTACTCACCCATCCTTTCTCCGGGCCGGCATCAGTGTTAGTTTTAAAGGTCAGCAGCGAACGTGCCGGTGCCTCCCAGCCCGTGACCTTCGCTCCGTCCCTGCCCCGCGCCGCTCGCTGCCCCACGGGCCGGGCTCGGCAGGGCTGGGGAAAACACCCTCCCCTCCCCTCCCCGCGGGGCTGTCCACGCGGTTTTGTGTCCCGCGGGTCATCACAACCTCCCTGGGGTGCGGGGGGGGGATGTGCGGGGAGGGGGATGCGGCGCGGGGGGGGACGCGGAGGGTGCGGGTGGCGGGTGCGGAGGAAATGACGGGGCCGCTCCGTCCCCGCCGGGTGCCGCGGCCGCCCCGCCCCAGGAAGCGACGCTTCGCTGGCGGCGCTGACGTTCGGCGGCTCCGCAGCGATGGCGGCCCCGCTGGCGGCTCCCGCCGGGCCCGGCGGGGCGCGGGGCGGGCGCGGGCCGGCGCTGCGGGAAGGGGCGCGGGTGTCCGCGCTCTGCCTCGCCTGGTACGGGCTCAGCGCCGGCGGCAACGTGGTCAACAAGCTGCTGCTCGGCGGCTTCCCCCGGCCCGTCACCGTGTCGCTGTTCCACATCCTGGGGCTCTGCGGGCTCCTGCCGCCGCTGCTCCGCGCGTGGAGGGTCCCGCCCGCTGGCCCCGCGCAGCTGCCGCCCCGCGCCTACCCGCGCTACATCCTCCCGCTCGCCTTCGGGAAGTATTTCGCCTCCGTGTCCGCGCACGTCTCGCTCTGGAGGGTCCCGGTGTCCTACGCGCACACGGGTGAGGAGCGGTGCCCGGGAGGGTGCCCTGACCCCGGGGTGTGTTCCTGGAGGTGCCCGGGGGGGTGTCCTGGGGCCCCGCAGTTGCTTGACCTGAAGCTCCGTGGGTGCTCCTGGCGGTGCCCGGTGCGGTGTCCCAGTACCCAGAGTGTGCTGGCACCAGATCCGGCTGCAGTGACGTGAAGCCCCGTGTGTACTTACACGAGTGAGCTGTCCCGGTACCCAGTGGGTGCTCCCGTGGGTGCCCACACAGTGTCCCAGAGCCCCAAGCCCCAGCCTGTGTCTGTGGCAGCGCCCAGCAGGGTGACAGGGAGGGCTGTCCCGGCGTGGCCCAAGGTGTGTCCCCATCATGGATGTTTTCCTCCCGTCCCCAGTGAAAGCCACGATGCCGATTTGGGTGGTTCTGCTCTCGCGGATCATCATGAAGGAAAAGCAGACGACGAAGGTGCGGACAGGTTTGCTGAGGTTTCTTCTCTTGCTGCTGGTTGGGGTGTGCTGTGCTGGCTGGGGCAGCAGAGCTCGGGCTTTGGGTGGGGTTTGTGACTGGGATTTGATTATGCAGATTTTACAAGTCCCTTTTCCTTTCATTAAGAACACTGAGCAAGGTGATGCTCTAGAATGTCTGTTGTAATTGCTTCATTTCCTTGAGCTGCAGTAGTATAAAAGTTGATCCCTGGTTCTGTTGCTTTATTCCTCCTTCTCCTTTCCCCCCTGAACCATCAGGATGTATAAACTTATCTGAAATTAAAGTTCTTACCAGGTGCAAGTTACTTCTCCCTTCCTCTCCCAGGTGTACCTGTCTCTGATCCCCATAATCACCGGTGTCCTCTTGGCCACCGTCACGGAGCTCTCCTTTGACATGTGGGGACTCATCAGTGCACTTGCTGCTACCCTGTGCTTTTCCCTTCAGAACATCTTCTCAAAAAAGGTAACACTTTCTCTTAGAAAGACAATTAAAGTGTGTGTCTTGGCTCTAGTTACTTACCAAATGATTTCTGCTTTGTAGAGCTTTTAAAATGTATTAATATCTTATTGATACCAGGAGTCACCACTCAAAAACCAGTATTTTTTTCAAATGGGCATGTGTTTTTCTTTGGTCATGCTTATAAGAACTTCATACTCTAACAGTATGTCTTATTTTTCTAATTTACCTGTCACCTAAAGCTGTTACTGGGTCCTGAGTGCTGTTCAATAATGGCTTTTGTCAGGTGTTAAGAGATTCCCGGATCCATCACCTTCGGTTGCTGAACATCCTCGGGTGCCACGCTGTGTTCTTCATGATCCCAACGTGGGTTCTGGTAGATCTTTCTTCCTTCCTAGTGGAGAATGACTTGGTAAGTGTCATATTTGGGAAGAGGAACTGATTGCTATTAAGAAAGGAGGATAAAGTAAATAAACCCCAACAAGGAACGCCACCACCCAACCTAAAGAGCACCCTAAAGTGTTTCAGGGTAGTTCCGTGTCAGCGTGGAAGGAAACGTTGGGAAACACCTGCAGGTTGTTTCACAAACAATAGACACAGTGTTTATAGTGAGAATTGCTGGCAGGATTAGGACAGGCAGCTCATGGGAACAGTGGGAATCTGTGGAGCTGGGGACAGGAACAAAGGCCCCCAATGTGTGGGGCAGGTCCATCCTCTGTGCTCTCTGATTTGGTCCTTGCACAGTGCTGTGCTTGGGGCCCCTTTGGAGTGAAGCTGAGATATCCTCCTGCCAGTGGCAGCTGCCCAGTGCCTCAGGGTGTGTTTGTGTTGTTACCTGAAACCCGAGATAATTTTTTTTTTTCCTCCTCCTGTTTGCTTTAACCCAGAGCTCCATGTCTCACTGGTCCTGGACCTTGATGCTGCTCGTAATCAGCGGCTTCTGTAACTTTGCCCAGAACGTCATTGCCTTCAGTATCCTCAACCTCATCAGCCCCCTCAGCTACTCGGTGGCCAACGCCACGAAGAGGATCATGGTGATCACGGTGTCCCTCATCATGCTGCGCAACCCCGTCACCAGCACCAACGTGCTGGGCATGATGACGGCCATCCTGGGGGTCTTCCTGTACAACAAGGTGAGGGGGCCGCTTTGTTTACCGGGGAGATGTGGTTGGGACGCTCCAGTAGCTTTGGATTCTTCTTTGTGCCACAAAAATGTGGAGCACAGGGTGTCGCAAAGCCACTCGCTGTGGCCCAGGCGAAGGACTTGGGTGTGTTTGGGTCTCTCACAAATTTCGATTTTCCCCTTAATGTTTTCGTGAAAAGGGAAGGTTGGGAAGTAACTCGAGCCTTGTGAGCAAAAGAGCAGCTTGTGTTCATTTGGCATGTGAGAGGAATTAGGTTTTTATTAGAAGCCATTAATAATTTAAGACTCTAACCAGCACAGAGAATGATTAATTGTAGGACTGTTTGGTTTTTTTCTGGGTGGATGAAGACGTCAGGTGGTATTTGGGAAAACCTGTCTCCGTGGAAGGGGTTGTCAGGCATTGGAAGGGGCTGCCCAGGGAAGGGGCGGGGGGAGTCCCCACCCCTGGAGATGTCCAGGGAACAACTGGCCATGGCACTCGGTGCTCTGGGCTGGGGGACAAGGTGGGGATCAGGCCCAGGTTGGACTCGTTGGTCTGGGACGTCTTTCCCAACCTCAGTGATCCCACGGCAAACATTCCTTCTCCCCTTCCCAGACAAAATACGACGCAAACCAAGAAGCGAAGAAGCAGCTGCTTCCGGTCACCACCGGAGACCTCGTGAACCTGGAACGGCATCGAAACCCTCCTGAGAAGTCCCCGAACGGACTGGCGGGGTTTGCCCAGCACGGGGACTTCCAGTACGGCCGCGGCAACGTCCTCCCAGAGCACCTCCAGTACGGGCGGCAGAGCTACCCCGGCACCTACAGCCCCAGCCGCTTCGACATCTAGAGCCCGGCACGCAGGGGCAGCTGTGGGATCACGGCGTCCCCGGCATCAGCACAGACTGTCAGTGCCCCAGGGAATGTCACAGAGCCATTGACCGTGCAGGTTTGGCAGCAGGGCAGGTGTGTGGGTGTGTGTGGGGGAGCGGCACAAACCTGCGGCTGCTGCTGCCGGGCAGAGCTTTAAATGCGGAGCAGCCAGAGCTGAGACTGGGAGCAGACCTTGTGCGGGGATCCCGGTGTCGCTGCGCAGTGGGACATCTGTCGCTGCTCCTCTCAGAGTCTGTCAGCTGGTTATTCTCTTGGCAGCTGAATTCTGGCCAGTATCTTGTTTCCCACGCTGGTAACGTCACCTTTCATTTGTCCTCTAATAACGTTTTAACGATACTTTTAATGAAGCTTTCGGCAAGAAGTGGAAGTGAAGCAGGTTTCTGGTTATCAGGGGTTGTCTGAGGAGGATTGCCTGAGGTGTGTCAGTTTGCAGACAAGTAATCCTGAGTTCATGTCAGGCATCCTTGGAACTCCACGTGGGTGTTCACTGCTCTTGTGCCTCTGCCTTCAGTCCTGGAGGACAAACCAGAAGTGTTCCTGAAGGAGCAGCCAGTGGAAGGATTGATGATTGATCTCTCCCAGAATTGGGCTTCAGGCACAGAGAAAGAGTTCTCCACATCACTGCTGTCCCAGTCACTGTAAGAGAACAACCAAAGCCAAGCTTAAAATCCCAGTTGTTTCTGAATCATGTCAGTCCTGTAACTTCAGACATTGCCCTTCCTTGGCCATGCAGGAAACTCCTGCACAAATAAAGTGTTTGGAATAATGTGATTTAATTTTTTGACTTGCTTCACACCTGTTCTTCCAAAACCCTTTTGTTACTGTAGAGGTTGAGAGACATAAGGTGTTTTGTTCTCAGTTTTATGCATAAAATATGCTGTCTTATATGATTCATATCTTATGAATGCATTGATTTGAATAATCATCATTCTTAATTGTTTCTTGAGTCTTTTTAGCCCCTAATTTTTATTTTTTTTTTTTAATTCCTTAATCACTGCTGTTGGAGGAGCTGTGTGGATTTAGCCTGACTTCCACTTTCTGCTGAAAGAAGTTAAATTTTGTATCCTGTGCTGTTCCTGCAGCTCTCCTGGCTCGAGCAGGAAACCAAGGAAAGCTGATTTGAATCAACAGTAAATAGATAATTTATGGTTTAAGAACTGATTCAGTGTAAATGAACATAATTAATTTCTAGACAAGGTGATTGTGTGTGTGTCAGGTACTGCATTTGTGCATGGAAGGAATGAAACTTGGCTTTCCTTCCTTGGAATTAAATTCCTTGGAATGAAGTGAAACCCAGCTTGGAACCTGGGTTTCACTGAATCAGATTTTTGTTATTGCTTTAGCAAAAAGATTTTTTTAGGGGGCCTTCTTTCCTTCCCAGACAAGCTGTTGTACAGTGAGATTCCATAGCATAAATATTATGCTTTTATTAGAGGGGTAATAAACACCAGTGACAAAATTCAGGGGGTGTGACCCAGAGCACTCCCTGCTCTTATTTATTGCTTTACAAATGACCGTTTCTATGATGTGAGATGATGATTTGGCTCCTTTCTGGATAATAAAGAATTTATTTTCAAGGGCAAAAATCAAGCTGAATCTTCTTCTTTTGGCTGCTGGGGTGGTAGTTGCATAAACAGCCTTTCCACCAGCCAGTCCAAAAGAGGAAATGGTCCTCCTGAAACTTCAGAGTGGGTTCAGTTTGCTGCTGCTGTGCGTGAGCAGAACTTCCTTGCCTTGACTGGACTCCAGTCTGTTCATGTAGCTTAGACCTTGGGCTTTTAGGCCAGAAAATCTAAATAAATCTGTCCCTAACCAGGTGAAAAAGATCACAAGGAAAGTTTTTTTTCTTTCAGGTTGAAGAACTGCCTCTTCCAGTAGCAAAAGAATTATTTCTTTTTAATATGGGGAAAGTGCCAGATGTGCATTTCTGAGGCTCACTTCCCAATACTGAGATGCTTTTACAATCCACGTGAAAAGGATTTTGTGCGCTCTGCATTTGGATCGGGTGCTGACCCTGCACGAGACTGATTTGAGGGGGAGAGATTTAGGCTGAGATTTTTCAGGAGGAACTGAAGTTCTTCTTTCAAGGGAAGCTGGTTGTGACCTCAGACTCCTGCAAAGGCTGGACCATGTTCTGTTTGCCACTGGGGAAATGGAGATGATTCTTCTCTACTTCATTTCCCCCTGAGGGAGGGGGGGGTGAAATACCAAAAAAAAAAAAAAAGCATCATTGGGACCCCAGGGATGTGCAGGAGTAACATGAGGTCACCTGTGCACGTGTTGGCTGCTGTGCCACCCTCACACAACCCCGGTGGGGGTTAATCCCCCCAGATCAGAGCCTGCATTAAACACGTTGGGATGGTTTCCTTTTAAAGAACACACCCAGACATTTTTTTGGCAACAGTTCTCAGAGAAAGCTTGAGCTGCACGTTTGCCAATGGCAGCTCTTCAGCTGAGCTTTCTCTTCGCAGCCTGGCAGCAGGTGGGAGGGATCTCTGTTCGAAATCACTCGTCCCAAAGTCCGCTCCGGGCTTGTGGCCTCGCTGTGTCTGTGGAATAAAACTCCCGTGTCTGTGGAATAAAACTCCTGTGCTTGCAAAAAGGGGACTGACCCAAAGGAGGAGCTTATCCTTTTAGGGCCCAGGGAGCGAATCCCTTCCCTGGAGACTCCTGGCAGTGCTCCTGCAGCCTGTGGCCAGCAGGGATAATTGTGAGCGGTAAATACGTGTAATTAGAACGGTGGAGCGAGGCCGTTCCGGGGAGGTGGTTTTGGTGGATCCCGAATCCCAGTCCTTAAGCAATATTTGCCCACATTCAGGGAAAGGAAGTTTCTGATCCTGCTGTAATGTATATTTGAATCTTGGAGAGCTCTGTGGAATTTTTGTTTGGCGAAGCGGGGCGTTTGCTTTAAGCTGGTTTGTAAATGAATGACGTGTTTGACGCTGTACATAAGGTGTGGAGAAAGTACAGAAACACTGGAATAAAAAAGGGCAAATCCAGAAAATCCTGTATAATGACCCTGTTTTTAAAGCCAGGGGGGTTGCTTTGGGTTTATTCCTTGCCCAGAAAGCCACCTGGGAGGAGCTGGACTGATGTTCTGATGGACTGATGCCTGTCTGGGTTAGGACACCGATGACTGGGATCCTTTGAGATGTTTTGACTTCCATGAGGCATTTTTAACATGTAAATACATCACAATGTTCAGAAATCCTTCCCAAAACAGTCCTGGGTGGTTCTAGAAGTACCAAACCGAATCTCTCCCTCTGTGTGGGTTTCCTGTTGGTGGTTCCAAAGAGTATTTGGTGCCCTCTCGAGAGATCTTCAAAATATTTTGCCTTGCAGGTTCAATTTTAGTACCCAGTGGTGGCTTGAGCATCTTTATCATCTGGCAGAATGCTTGTGGTTTTCAAAGAACTGGATGTTCAATAAAATTGAGGCAATACTTGAAGATCTGTAGGTGTAGTAGAGTGATTTATAAAAATGGTGCTGGTAATTTGGGGTCCTTTCTGTGGGAAATCCTGCACTTCAGCAAATGAACATTTGGAACATTCGACTAGAAATGAAAAACTTTAAAAATTAAAAAAAAAAAATTAAAGTTAACAATAAAAATTTTAAAACGAAAAATAAACATTTCAAATGAATCCTAGAATTGAAATTTTAACGTTAATCCGAAAAAAAAAAAAAAAAGTAAAAATCGATTGGAAAATTGAAATTTTAAAATAAAAACCCAAAAATTTAAAATTACTTTGGAAAAAATCAAAATTTAACATTTAAAAAAAATGAAGATCAATTTGGAAAATTTAAATTTTAACGTTAAAAATTAATTCGACCAACCCTAGCCACCCTTTTAAATAACTAATAATGCAGACGTTTGACCCGCTCTGTTCTGACTCCTCCCCGAACCGCCTCTTTATCCCTTTATTTCCTTAAAATTGTCATAAATTGTTATTCCCTCCCCTCCCCTGAGGCGGGACCGGCGGGAGGGGGGACACGTGACCGGCGTCGCGCGCCGTCTCCGTAGCGACGCGGCCGTAAAGCGCTGCCGCGCGGGTGTCGCGCTGCCGGCGGAGCGGCGCGGCCCAGCGGGCCCGGGAGCCGCGGCCATGGAGATGCCGCTGCCGCCCGAGGGTGAGGGGGGCACCGGGATCTGGGGGGGAACGGGAGGGTCCCGGGGCGCAACGAGGGCGCGGGGGAACCTGGGGAGAGCGGGGCCTGACCGCGCCGCCCTCCCCGCACAGATCAGGAGCTGCGGAATGTCATCGACAAGCTGGCGCAGTTCGTGGCGCGGAACGGGCCCGAGTTCGAGAAGATGACGATGGAGAAGCAGAAGGAGAACCCCAAGTTCTCCTTCCTCTTCGGCGGCGACTTCTACGGCTACTACAAGTACAAGCTGGCGCTGGAGCAGCAGCAGCGTGAGTGGGGCCCGCGGCTCGGGCAGGGCCGGCGGGTCGGGGCCGGCCCGGGCCCCCCTCCCTCAGCCCGGGCCCGGCCGGGGAGACCCTTCTGCTCCGCGGGGCCCCAGGCGGGCTGGGGGACGGGCAGGGGGAGCGGGGAGACAGAGCCCAGCGCCGGGCCAGCCCTCCCGGGCACGGGGAGGTGTCCGCGCTCCTGCTGGTGGTGCCCCCCTGGAAGCGCGCAGGGAATCGGTGACTCCTCTTTGGCGCCATCCGCCCGCGAGTTTGCGTTAATCACACCATACCCCGAGCTGGAAGGGACCTGTCGGGATCGTGGAACCCTGCGCGGGACACCCCAGCAATCCCACGCTGTGCCTGAGAGCCTTGTCCTGGCGGTTCTGGAGACCCCCGGAGGGAGGGTCGGTCCGGAGCCCCAGCCCCGTGCCCCCCCGCGGGCTGGCGGTGACGGGGGACAGGGCGCTCCGGGAGGTTTACTTTCCGGGTTTACTCTGTCCGATAGTGCTGTGCAAGCAAAGCCAGGACATCGAGGCTTCTGCCCAGATCCAGCCCCTGCCGCAGCCCTCGCTGCCGCCGGCCGCGCCCATCCCGGCCCCCCAGGGCACCCCCTCGGTGGAGGAGCTGATCCAGCAGAGTCAGTGGAACCTGCAGCAGCAGGAGCAGCACCTGCTCGCCATGAGACAGGTTGGTTTGAGAGAGAAAACACCCACCTAGTGTGTCCCGGAGTGTCGGTGGCTGAGTGAATGAGGAATGAAAGGGGGGGAGGAGGTTTTTTCTGCCCAGTGGTGGTGGCTGAAAGGAGAGGGAGTGTTGCTTTCATTAGTTTTGTCCTGTGGCAAATGCCATCCTCCTCCTAGAGGGGATGTATCTGATGTGCAGGTTGGACTGGGGAGATTGGCCTGTGATTGAAACCATTTTATTCACCCTGTGGAAAAACCTTGTTGGTTTTAAAGCAGGTTGGTTTTATTCTTCTTTAATCTTGGTATGATGCTGCAGGTTGCTGGGATCTGCAGGACATTCCAGTGTGAAGTATTCCAAGCTGGATCTGATTAGGGGTGGAAGGGAACTGTGTGCAATCAGCTAGTTGGTTTTTGCAGGAGATGTTTTGGCTGTTAAAGCTGCTGGGAACCACACTGAAGAGTTCTTGTGCCTTTGTTATGTTCCTTCCATTTAGGAGCTTCCTGGCATTATTTTTTATTCCATGATAGATTTTAGAGGTGGAAACGAACTGGATTTTTCCTGAAGAATGTGAAGACTTTTTTTTTTTTCCCTCCAAACCAAATAATAGAAACACTTTTCTGTGGTCACATTGCTTGTTCTTCCAGATAGTTACTTATGTGCAAGAGAACAGGGACACAGCAGAGTCATTCTTTACAAGAATGTTGGATATAATGTAGATGTTTTTTTTCTTTCTGTTTTTTTTTTTTTCTTCAGGAACAAGTCACATCAGCAGTAGCCCTTGCCATCGAGCAGCAAATGCAGAAGGTTTTGGAGGAAACTCAGTTAGACATGAACGAGTTTGACAACTTGTTGCAGCCAATAATTGACACTTGTACAAAAGATGCCATCTCAGTGAGTGACCTGAGCCTGCGCAGCGATTTGGGGGTGCTGGGGGATCCTTTATTTCTCATTCTGCACGGGGATTTGGGGGTGCTGGGGGATCCTTTATTTCTCAGAGTGCACGGGGATTTGGGGGTGCTGGGGGATCCTTTATTTCTCATCCTGCACAGGGATTTGGGGGTGCTGTGGGTTCCTTTACTCCCCATCTTGCACAGTTGACAGCAGCTTTATTGCTGTGCTGTGTGGCAGGTGAGGTGAGAGCCATCACCCAAGAACTGCCCTTCCTGCAGTTGTGCCCGAGCGCTGCAGGAAGCCCAGGTGAGGTGAATGTGTTAGACTGAACTTGAAACATTTAACATCTGCTTTTCCCCAAGGCTGGCAAGAACTGGATGTTCAGCAATGCCAAGTCTCCTGCCCACTGCGAGCTGATGGCCGGGCACCTGCGCAACCGCATCACGGCCGAGGGAGCGCACTTTGAGCTGCGGCTGCACCTCATCTACCTGATCAACGATGTCCTGCATCACTGGTGAGCGTTTACTGCCAGGGGTTCAGTGATTTGGTGAAGCCTCTCTCCTGGATATCACGTTAGTTTGACTAATCGCTTTTTAATTTCTTAATTTGCTTAATTTTCCATCTTGAGGTGCCCCCAGCTGGCACAAAGATCCAGTGCTTTAGTGATCAGATTTAGCTTTCACCTACTTTGTGTGTTTTGACTCCAGACTAGACTTTACATTAAAAATATAAAAGAGAGGACTCTGTATTTTATGCACCCACTACTTTTAATACAGAAGTTGAGATGATTTGCATATTCCAGTGCAGTCTGTTGGAGTGGAAAAGGTAACTCTTCCAATTGCTTTCTTGAAGCCAACGGAAGCAAGCACGAGATCTGCTGGCTGCTCTGCAGAAGGTGGTTGTGCCCATTTATTGCACCAGTTTTCTGGCAGTGGAGGAGGATAAACAACAGAAAATTGCCAGAGTGAGTACCTGGGTTTGGGTTGGCCGTGAGTTTTGCTTTGTTAGGTTGGTGCTCTGCAAATTCACAAATAGGTAGACAGGGGAAGACCACTGAGATTTTTTTTTCTGATTGTTTGAACTAGAACTTAAAAGTATCTAAGCTTTATTTAAAAGTTATAATAGTGATGGATGGATCTGAATCTGCAGTGGGTCAAAAATAAGTGCTGAAATCCAAGGTCTTATGAAAAGCTGGAGATGTAAAAATGCTGTTCTTCAGTTTTTCTGTGATTGTTCATAACTGCTAAAAACCTTTCACTCTTGAATTTCTGCAGCTTCTTCAACTGTGGGAGAAAAATGGGTACTTTGATGAGTCCATTATTCAGCAGTTACAGAGCCCAGCTCTTGGACTTGGCCAATACCAGGTTAGCCACAAAAGTAACAGTTTTATTATTTATATATATGTATAAACAAATTTAGGAAATGTTAAACCTTTCAAAAGGCAAAATTAATTTCCTGACCCCCTTGAAGGTGTTTACAAGGGATAAACAAAAACAACGTAAAATACAACCTTTTTATTTCAAATGTTCCATAATCCAGCTGCTGATGCAGTGCTGGATGCAGGATACAGACTGATACAGTCCTGTACGTACATGACAGTGCATGGAAATGAATGTTGGGTCAAAAGGAAACAAGAAATCACAGCTTTAAATTGGGTATATTGAGTAGAAAAACTGTTGTGGCAGCAGGAACTATTTGTTTTTATTATTAATAATGAGTGCTGTTGATTTGAGCTGTACTGGAAAGGCACTAATAAGAGTGGGGGGTTCCAGCCTGCAGGGAATATTTTGGAAAACTCCACCAGAGCTTCCTAGTGAGGCTGTGTGGTTCTGCCAGCATTATCCTGCCTCCTCAGACATTTTTTTTGGGAGAGAGGGTGAAGAACAACGTAGGGAATTCTGAAGGGGCAGACAGGGCAGGTGTTAGAGGTGCAGAGTTCACTTGTTCTCCATTCCTTTCATTTCATCAGGCAAATCTGATCACTGAGTACGCAACGGTTGTGCAGCCTGTGCAAGTGGCCTTCCAGCAGCAGATCCAGAACCTGAAAACTCAGCACGAGGAGTTTGTCAACAGTTTAACCCAGCAGCAACAGCAGCAGCAGCAGATCCAGATCCCCTCCCTGGAGAACGAGGTGAAATCAACGCCCCCCCCTCAGGCCCCCCCAGCAGCCCCAGCCTCGGCTCCACCGTCTGCTCCAGTTTCCCAAGCAGGTACTGCCAGATGTGGGGCCTGAAACCAGGAATGGGTGGGGGACAGTGTGGGGAGGTGGATTTTTTTTGTTCCTTTTGTTGCAGTGAGGCACTGGGGCTGTGCTGGTTTGGTTCAGGGGGGAACCTGAACCTGTTTTGGAGCCTTGCAGCAGGTTTGAGTCTGATGATTGAATGTAAAAATAACCCCCAAAGGGATGAATGTTAAATGGATCAGGAATCCTCTCTCCCAGGAACAGATTTCTGCAGGATAAATTCATCTGGAGCCTGATGTGGGTGTGCTGCTGTTTCATTAACTACATGTGATTTTGATGCTTATAGTAGCCTCCAAATTGTTTCAGATGATGGTAAATCTCAGCTGCCTCTGGCTGGTTCTACAGAATATGACACGAGTGGGAGTGGAGTGCAGGATCCTGCCTCGGGAGGACCTCGTGGGCCTGGATCTCATGATCAGATTCCCCCAAATAAACCACCCTGGTTTGACCAACCTCACCCTGTTGCTCCATGGGGTCAACAACAGGTAAGAAACAGTTCTGGGAACCAGATGTGTGGGTTAGGAATGACCAGCTGGCTTGTGGAGGTTTGGGTTGCCCCACCTTGGTTGTGGAAGTGCAGTGAAAAAGCTGTGAACGTTAGAAATCCAGATTCAAAGGCCAAGCTTTGTCATTCTGATAAAAGCATAGTATTAATTATTATATTTCAGTTGTTCGTAGGAACAGTGTGATGGTTGACAAGAGGAACAAGTTTGGTCTTTTCCCATCTTTTCTCTGAAGCTGCAGTTGTTCAGACATGTCCTCTCACTTTGCCTGTTGCCTGTGGGCTGTATTTACTTTCAAAAGGTAGATTATTATTGTGTTCCTTATTTTCGTAGCCTAATAATGACCAGGCCTCTGCTCTTCCCCACCAGGGACCACCTCACTGCCCCCCCTGGAACAACAACCACGAAGGGATGTGGAACGAACAGAGAGATCAAGGCTGGAACAACCAACGAGAGACCCCTTGGAACAACCAGCCTGATCCTTCCTGGAACAACCAGTTCGAAGCTCCGTGGAACAACCAGCACGAACAACCTCCATGGGGTGGGGGCCAAAGGGAACCTCCATTTCGAATGCAGCGGCCACCTCACTTCCGAGGCCCATTCCCTCCACATCAGCAACATCCCCAATTCAACCAGCCCCCGCATCCGCATAATTTCAACCGCTTTCCACCTCGCTTCATGCAGGATGATTTCCCACCTCGCCATCCCTTTGAAAGGCCTCCTTATCCTCACCGCTTTGATTACCCCCAGGGGGATTTCCCTCAAGGTAAAGTGTGGGCCGGGCCAGGTTTTTCTGATTACCGAACGATGGGGTGTGGCAGTTTGTCCTCGGTGGACTCTTTGTGGTGTTTTGTTTTTTTTTTTTCCCCCGAGGAATGTTGAGTGCTGGGGGTTTGGGGAAGCTGTTGCTGCTGAGGACTCGGTGAGGAAACACGTGCAGAGTTAGATGCTTCCTTGCTTTTTTTGAGTCTTCCCTAATGGATATAGAAACTGTAATCCCAACTCAAGGCAGCAGCTCTACAGGCACCTCTGCTGTGATTGTTTCACTTTAAAAATAGGAAGTTCAAAGGTGAGAAGCAGCATTTGCTTGTACATTTAATCTCCTGCATATCAGGCCATAGATGAGGGGCTGAGGAGAGCTGTGCCCTCTGTAGATGGAGGAAGACAGGCTGGAAGGATTTTTCCCTGTGCATACATTCAGTTTCTTCCCTCCCTGGAACAGGGAATGTCTGGGAGTGGAGCCAGGCACTGCTTCCCTCGGGAAGTTTGCTGTAATCCTTCCCCCCTGTGGTTTCCATTCCCATGCAGGAGTGACAGTTATTCTGGAATGATCCTTATCAGTGTAAAGGCCAAAGGTCACTGTGGTTCTGTGTGATAAATGATTTAGAAGAGCCATTATGTTTCTGTGGAGGAGTTGCTGTTTTAAGCTTAAAAGATTCTCAGTTCTCCAAGTCCCAAAAAACACTGAAAACCAATAGATTAGAGTTTATATATTTAGGATTGTGTTTAACTTCTTCAGTACAGCTTAATTATTTTTTACCTTGAGGTAAAAGTACAGGGAGAACCCCCCCCTTGTCCTGAGGGAGTTTAGGGTTAAGCTCAGAACAAGATGCTTGGTTTTGGATTGTAGTGGTGATTCAAAACATCTGTTGTGTCATGTAAAGCTGTTGGAGGAAGGGACCTACTGAACCAGATGGTTGAAATTAGGAAGGCAGTGAAGCAGTGACAACACAGACTGTGCTCAGGGTCTGGTGACAATGAGTCAAAATTGTGTCGGCTCGAGGTTGGGCAGTGGCTGTTTTGGCTTCTCCTGGAAAAATTGTTGGTCCTGCTGTGGAAGATTCTGATTGTCAGTCTTGCATTTTTCTCTGTGCAGTGCACTGAGCTCAGCAAGGTCTCCTGGCAGTCATGGCATTCCTCCATCAGTGGTTGGTCACTCACTTCCCTAATTTAACAGGATATTATTGGCTCTACTTCTTCCCCAAATGCCTCTTTAAACAAAATATTTTCTTGTCACCTACTCATGTGAGTCAATTCCTGCCATATTTATCCCTTTCTATATGTTGAGTTGGCACAGAGACAGACCTAATGACAGGTCCAGGCTAAGCCAAGGCTGTGTCCTCAGCGTCAGAAATAGATCCCATCAGTAGCTGCTCTGCTGCCTCTGAAACATTTTGTCCTTGAGGGTGCCTTTCCTGGGGTACTTTTGACCACAGCGTGTCCCAGAGGAAGCAGTGGCTTAAGGGCTGAAGGATCCTGTTGTCTTGAGAGTGGAGGGAGATGCACTGCAAGGTATTCACCAGCGTGGGTCTGTTCCAGCCTTTAGTCACAGAATCACAGAATATCCTGGTTGGAAGGGACCCACAAGGATCAGCAAGTCCAGCCCACACAGGGATCAAACCCTCAACGTGGATGTTCCTGGCACCACGCTCTAAGCAGCTGAGCTCATCTCAGGGTCATTAGTCCTTCAGTTCTGGTGCTTGGCTGGACCTGCCAGGATTGGTTTTTAGGATCAGTTTACTAATTGAAGTCCATCTCTGATCGCCCTTCCTTTCTCGCCAGCTGAATAAAACCTTTTAACCCTCCCACCCTGCAGAAATTGGACCTCCTCATCATCATCCCGGCCACAGATTGCCTCACCCTGGCATCAGCGAGCATCCCCCCTGGGGAGGGCCCCAGCACCCCGATTTTGGGCCTCCCCCCCACGGGTTTAACGGGCAGCCCCCCCACATGAGGCGCCAGGGGCCCCCCCACATGAACCACGACGATCCCAGCCTGGTGCCAAACGTGCCCTACTTCGACCTGCCCGCTGGGCTGATGGCTCCTCTCGTCAAGGTAAGTGTTTCCAGTGGCACTGAAACATCCACATCCCGTGGGACAGTTGAACGTGGATGGGTAGAATTCCAGAGCTGCCCGTCCCACAGCCAGCAGGCAAAGCTGTGGAGGGGGTAAGGGTGGGGAAAATGGTGACGTTTCTCAGGTGTTTTGTGCCAGAGGAAAGCTGGTAGAGCTCATGTGTGTGAAAGATTAATTTGCACTTGAAAATCTGACCCCTCTCTGTAGGAAATGGAAATCCCCAGTGATTTTTCAAGTGGTCAGAGGGGCCACTGTGTTCTAGTTTTTGGTAATCAGAATTCTCACAAAGATGTTTTATTAATTGTTATCTACCCAAGGAATGATGGAGAACAGGAATTGTGTCTGTCTCAGCATCTTTGGGGATAGTTACATTCATGCATTTTGTGTTTGAGATGAGCAGACAGGCCTCTTCCATCTCTAACTTGGTGTTACTCTCAGCATACACCAGGCTTCCCTCCAGCCACCTGAGCACAAAGGTGGATGAGATCTGCCCTTTTATCCACCTGGTGATCCACTGAATGCTCCAACCTGTGCAGTGCTGGCTCTTCCCACAGAGCTCACCACGGTGACAGCATGACAAAGCACTGGCTCACCTGCACAACCCTTATTTCTGGACTATCCTTTTTTAATCCAGTAGTGAAATCTGAGGTCCCCACACAGCTGAACCTGTGTTTATCTCTTCAGGTACTTATCTCTCCAGGTAGCCACCCCATGACACGTGACACCAATGTCATTTGTTTTGTTTCCGGCAGCTTGAAGATCATGAGTATAAACCTTTAGATCCTAAAGATATTCGTCTTCCACCCCCAATGCCCCCCAGTGAGAGACTCCTGGCTGCAGTGGAGGCATTTTATAGTCCACCATCTCATGACAGGCCTAGAAACAGGTAAGAGTAGGTGTAGCTAACAGTGGGGTAAGGAAAATGCCCTGAGAAGGTGTCTCAAACCACAAAGTGCTTCTCCTGATGCTCTTGTTGTGTTGTAACTGCACTTGCTGTTTGATCTTCCACTGAGGTTTGTGAGGCTGTTTTGCCCAGGCCTTTTGTTCCATACAAAACCCAGTGAAAATCCTGAAGGTCGCCGTTGAACTGGAATTTACGGCTGTGCAAGTGGAATTTACAGCTCGGTGTGTTGATTTATTGCAGTGAAGGCTGGGAGCAGAATGGACTGTACGAATTCTTCAGAGCTAAAATGAGAGCAAGGCGGAGGAAAGGTCAGGAGAAGAGAAATAGGTGAGAGATCCTGCGTGCTGCCTTCTGTTCAGCTGGGCTAAATGCAGAGGGAGGAGCCTTCAGCAGCGTGCTCGTGGCAAAACAGAGTGTCAGTGGGCTGGAATTTTTGCAGAACTGCAGAAAATGGAACTGGCACAGGTTGGGCGGAGCAGCTGTGGCTGCCCCATCCCTGGAAGTGTCCAAGGGCCAGGTTGGATGGGGTTTGGAGCAGCCTGGAATAGTGGAAGGTGTCCCTGCCCATGGCAGGGGGTGGGACTGGATGGGGCTTTAAGGTCCCTTCCAACCCAAACCCCAATTCCCTGAAGCAGTTTTTCACACAGTGCAGTTTTCCCTGGGTTGCCTGCAGTGTGTGTGTGTAATCTGAACCTGAGCAGCAGCGGGTTTGTGTTTCCAGTGCCTCTCCCAGCAGTTTCACTGGATTTCTCTCTGTTCCCTGTTCAGTGGCCCCTCTCGCTCTCGCAGCCGCTCTAAAAGCCGAGGTCGTTCTTCTTCCCGCTCCAATTCCCGATCTTCGAAATCGTCCGGCTCCTACTCGAGGTCGCGCTCCCGCTCCTGCTCCCGCTCCCGCTCCTACTCCCGCTCGCAGTCCAGGTAGAATGGGGGGTGGGAAAAGCCCAGCCCCGAGGCTGATTGAGGATCTCTGGGTGTTGCTCTGGTGAGTTGTGCATCTGCCATGTGTGTGCTCTCTGTTCCAGGAGCCGCAGCCGCTCCCGCTCCTCCCACAGCCGCTCCCGGTCCCGCTCCCGCTCCAGGTCCAAGTCGTACTCGCCGGGAAGGCGGCGCCGCTCCCGCTCCCGCAGCCCCACTCCTCCGTAAGCTCTGCTCCTGATCCTCTTCCCGGGCTGTTGGGAACAGCCCCAGCAGGGGCACTGCCTCACTAATTAATAAGCATGTCAGCAAAGAGCAGGAAGGAAGATGGGAAGCAGATTTAGAAACAATTTACCTGCTGTGTTTGCTTGTAGAGAGAGAAGGTTACCCTGTTGTGGTGGCTTTTTGTTACGACAAACCAGTGTGTAACTATGAAGGCTTTGTACACCTCCCTTGGGAATGGCTCCCTTGGGAAGGGGGCAGTGTTTGGTTTCCCCTGTGCTGAGAACCAGGGGGTGTCAAAGGTGTGAGAATCATGTGCCAGAAGGCACCTCAGTAACTCCAAAATTTAATGGCTTTATTAAGGAATACCTTGGTAGAGTGACTGGGATTGTGTTGGGTGTTAAAGCTGAACAGAATTAGAACTGACCTTGCATTGTGTTGGAAAGGTATCACTGGTTCTTAATCTGTTCTTATTTCCTTAGTTCTTCTGCTGGTTTGGGCTCCAGTTCTGGGCCTCCTATACCAGAATCAAGACTTGGAGAAGAAAATAAAGGCCATCAAATGCTGGTGAAAATGGGTAAGATGCTGTTCTGGAATCTTACAGGCCAGGAAACAAATTCAGGCACTGAACTGTTGGATGTTCCTAAGGAATTACCCCTTGACATTCCAAGGTCAGCATAAGGATAGTCAGAGATACAAGCATTTAGAACATGGAGCAGTGGTGGTTGCCTTTCTGGGAAGGGTATGGAAGACAGGGATGTGAGTTTGGCATCAGACAGAACTGACCTACCTGAGGTATTTCAGTGCAGGTCAGCAAGGTTGACCAGACTGAGCTTGTGCTGCCTTTCCTCTTGCCCTCCTAAAAGTTTTTAGGGGTAGTGCTGCTGTCTGTCAGCTCCTGGAACCTCTTGCACATTAATGCTTGTGAAGTAAATGGGATGGTTCACGTGTTGTTTCAGGCTGCCTGTTCCCATCCTGCCATATCAAAATTGCCATGTTGGTCTGACCTCACGACTTAGTAACAAAAAAAAATAGTGACAGGATTGCAATGTGTCCTTGCTGCAGGATGGAGTGGATCTGGTGGGCTGGGAGCCAAGGAACAAGGAATTCAGGATCCAATTAAAGGAGGGGATATCCGAGACAAGTGGGATCAGTACAAAGGAGTAGGAGTTGCGTTGGATGATCCTTACGAAAACTACCGGAGAAATAAAAGTTACTCGTTCATCGCCCGCATGAAGGCCAGGGATGAATGTAAGTGATGCTTCTCAGCACTTCACAAACCTGGGTGGCCTTGACAGTGGTTGTGTCCTGTTTACTGTCCACTGGAAACCCAAATCAAAATGTCAGTAACTGGTAGTTCTTTGTAACGTAACAGATGCAGTAAAACAGCAGGTAAGTGACCGGGTCTGATCGACCCAGCGTGTTGTGTTCTAATTTCTGAAAGATTAAGGAATTAGCCTGTTCTACATCAGCCACTTCCTGGCTGCAGTACTGAGCACCTGCATCTTTCATTGTTACCCCTCAAACACTCGGAGCAGTCAGAAAGGGGGAGCTGTGCCAGAGCAGGGAGATCGCGTGGCTGGAACTCAGACCACACTTACTGTTATCCCTGCCCTACTCAGACTTTCCTACCTTACTGCCACATTCTGCCCAAGCCAGAACCGGTTAATAAATTCCCTGTAGTGCAGGAAGGGTTCAGAAAAAGGGGAGGTGTTTGTAAGAGATGAAGACAATCACCCAAGTGATGGATTTTTGCAGAGAGTCTGTGATACATCGAAAAACTGCCCTTGCCAATGGCTAAAAGGGAAAAAAATTGGCATGTTCAATGAAAAGTCACTTCTGCCCTGGCTGCAGTAGATCTGTGCAGTCACCTGGGTTCAAATAAAGCCCACAAGGAGAAGTTCCTTCTTACAGAGCCCTCATTCCATGAAACAGTTCAGGCAGCTCAGGTGACTGTGGAATGTGTAAGAACTCTTTTCCCTGTTGTTTCAGTGAAACGTGAAACACAAGACCCTCCACCACCCGAATAAGACTCTCTGAAGAAAGATGTCTTGCATCTTCTACAAAACATTAGACTTGTCAAAATCCGGATTAAAGTCTGGAGGAAGTGACAAAATTACTTTTTAAAACTATGGGGAAAAATGGAAAGCTATGACATGTACTTCAACACCTGTCATTTAGTGCCTAGAAAAGGGCAGTTGTTACCATGACATGTCTAGCAAGTTTAAAAACTTCCCTTTATCTTGCAAATTTTTTTTTTTTTAAATTAGTTCCCAGTTTTATACTAGAACTGAGCTCCAGTCAGTGTGCCCCTGGTGCAGGATTGTGCCCCACTCCTCCCTGTGGAATACACAAGTTGTATCTGATGTGGTTTGCATGTTCTCCAGTTCCATAATGTATGTTTATTTCTCTCAAAAGGTTAATTCTATTTGAAGTGGAAGGGGTGCTGCCTTGGGATCAAGTCAGACTGATGCTGAGCAGTGTATCCTAATGTCTAAAGTGGGGAATGAAGCATCTAGATCCAGTGCAGGTGACCTTTGAGCACTGTGCCAGCTTTTAGAACCTTCCAGCCACCTCCAGGCCCCCCCAGCAGCTGCTGCAGCCCCCCCTGGGCAGGACACGAGGGGCAGCTCGCTGAGGGCTGGGCGATGATGCTTTGTAACGGGACACAGCCTTGGAGCTTTTTATATTTTTGTACATACCCTTGAATAAAAGCCAATTAGTTCACTAGAAGAGAATTCCATTTTCTCTGCTCTCTTTTAAGTTTCTCTCAATGAGAAGTTCTTGGAAAGTTCCCTGTGATCTAAAGGAGAGAAGAAACAGAACCTTTTCTAACTGTTTCCAGCTAGAGCTGTTAGGCCCTTCCACTGCACCCCCCAGTCCCCAGGTCTGCGTGGTGGTTCCCTTTTCCAGTTGTTTGTTTGTATAGCAAAAAAAAAAAAAAAAAAAAAAAAAAAAAAAAAAAAAAAAAAAACACCACAAAAAACCCTCTTAAAACCATCCAGTTAATGTGGTGGAATATCAGTTTGTTCTAGATCTGCTGTAGCTGTGGAACTGTACCTGTCTGTGAATCAGCATACACCACCTGTATGTTACCAACTTGTGAAGTTTTATTGTTTTGCCTTCCAATAAACACTTTTTTTTTTTTTTTTTAAATAAAAAAAATGAAATGGCAGCTCAGATTTCGGAGTAAATGGATTCCTGTACCTTGACTAGCAGCCTTCCTTGAATTTATTTGAACTTTGGGTGTGTTTGGGTTGGTTGTAATCTGACAAGGCTGATTCTATAGAAACACTGTTCAGATAATGGCACTAAAGTCAGGATATGCTGATTTTCTGCTGTGGTTACATTTCTCAGGGGCTGCAGTTACAGACTTTCACTTCTACCACAATCACAGATGTGATCACAGATCTCACACTCTGCATGATAAACATGTACCCCTGCTGACTTACCACAGTTCCTTTAGACAGAAGTGTTTTGTTGGTTTTTTTACTGATACAGTCTGGCTGAAGGTTCCTGCCTATCCCTGTGTCATGTACATGAGGAAAAAATTCAGGTATAGAAAAGTAAATTACATATCATAATTAGCAGTTTGTACAAATCCCTCCAGTACACAGTGTATTCACTTTTTATCTGTGCAAGTTAAAAGGGGTTCTGGCTCCAGCCTTAGAGCTGTAAATATAAAAGTTCAAGCTCTAAGAGTCAAAGCAGTTCCTCCTCCTGTGCTCTCTGAATCTCTTCAAGGGCTTGTTCAAGTGTTAAAGGTGGGGGTTTGTGATTCTTGATGTACTGCAAAGAAAAAAAAACGTTAAGACAATAATTTGTTACATAAATAATTACTTTCTAGTATTTAATAAATAATAAACCTCCATGTTAAGATACCTGAGAGAGAACCTGCACTTTGCTGTGCCAGCACCAGAAAGTGACCCTTCTGCTGCAGCGTTTGGCAGATCCCTGGTTGGTTGTAGCTGAATGCTACAGCAAGCACAAAGCTTCATCTTCCAAAACTGTGGCCTCCAAAACTTCAACCTTTGCACAGTAAAACCCCACAACTTCCTAATTAATAACACGCAAAGAAACTCGCTCTGCTGCAAATACCAGAAGCATCTGGAAAGGAGGATCTGCCCAGCCTGTCATAAATACCTCCTTGGCCTCCTCTAGGCTGTGGTAGTGGAACTTCTCGTGCTCCAAGGACTCCACCAGGGCCGAGTGAAGGTGCTGAACGTTCTCCACAAAGCTCTGGGTCAGCAGCAGGTGCTGTTTGCACATGGAATGCAGCACGAGCACAGAGGGGCTGTAGGCAGTCAGGGCTGGGGGGGGAAGGGGCAGGAGGGCTCTGGTGAGGCACAAAGCGTGGCTTGGGTACAGGGAACAACATCAAACACGAGGGTGAAGATGATTTTGGGTACCTTCTACTGCATCCATGCTGATGACGTGACTGGCAACAGGCACTGGGTCGACGTAGCCGGTTCCTACAGGTGGGCTCAGCACTGCAGAGGGGTTTGCTGTGCCAGGAAACATCAGGGTTACTGGGGACAGGCTGGAAAGGTTTAGTGCTGCAACTTCAGACAGTCTCTTGGGACAGCAGCTGCCCAAGAAACCCTGTAAAAAAACCCCAAAACAGCCCTAAAACCACTGTAGAGGCTTACAGGGAATTCTGTCAGCCGGAAAAATAGTTATACAACTGAAATAGTTCTACAGCCTCCCATTGTTTCTCTACTCTTCCACTCAAAACACCTACCACTGCAAAAGGCATCTTTTCTAACCCCAGGCAGAGTGAAAATAAGGGCTTTTGTACTCAAAAAAAGCTCCTGTTTTCAAGCACACTTGAGTTTCTACTTTCTCCTCCTCGAGTGGGGCAAGAAGGGGCTCTCAGGACTTTCTCCTTGAAATAAAGAGCCAGGCTGGGAGCTCCCCCTCGGGAATGGGAAGGGTCGCAGCTGATCCTGTGGTGGGGCCACAGCGCCTTCCCAAGAGAGAAAGGCCCTGCAAAAGGAGAACTCAGCGATGAGCAATCACTTCAGTAACACCACAATGCTCTCATTTACAACAGTAAAGATATCAGAGTGGTGAATTCCACTGAAGAGTATTACTCGTGCTATTGTGAGCTTTGTCACCAACGCTCACCCAGCAACAGGGCCTGTGGGGGGGGTTTTAAAGCAAAAACCAGTTCTAAGTTCTCATGATATTCAATCTCAAGCTTTCCTACGGGCAGCAGATTGAAGTGCTGGGCTTTGAAAGCTTTTAATTTGGCACCAGCAAAGGAGAAGCTGGCACTGAAACTAAAACTAAGCGGGCTGACATTAATAAAAGTGTAATAAAAGTTGCCTGACAGAGCAGAGCTCTGCACTCACCCTTTGCCCAGCAGTAGGAGAAGGGGGGCTCTGCTGTCTGAACCCCAGTTTCCCTCACAGTCACTCGGTGCCCCCGTTTGTGGCGCTCCCGGGTGCCCAGCGGGGACGAGGCTGAGGTTGGGTGTCCCTCAGGGTGTCCCTCTGCCCCTCCACCTCTGTCTGGTGGAGACAGAGAGCTTTCAAAGTCCTCAGAGTATTCTGAATTAAGAGTTCTCTCATCCTGATCAAGAGAATCCTCTTTGTGTCCAGGGGAATCTGTGGAAGCTCCACTTAAGTGCTCAGAGATTTCGGCTTCAGTGCCACTTTTTCCAGCGTCCCCACCAGTTACTGTGTTGGTCAGTTCAGAAGAACCTTGATCCTCTTCCACCACCACATCTTTGTTTGATTCTTGAGTCATTCCAGTATCTTTCCCCTGTAAAATGAGTTATTTTAGACCCTCCACCCAACAGAGGCAGACTGGGAATAGGTGTCAGCAGGGAATTCCTACTCACTTCCTGTTTTAATTCTGCTGCCTCAGAGGGGATATCTGGGGCCAAATCATCGAGGCTCAGGATATTCAGTCTGAAATCTGCAATCAAATGACACATTGACACGCGAATTTGCATGAAAGTTACAGCACATTTTCCCTTAAATGAGAAAAGGGGGAAAAAAATCAGTATTATCTTCCTAGTTTAAAGTGTAATACTGAAAGGTAATAGCAACCAGACACTCGAAATCTTTAGAAAAAAGAAACAGAACTACACAATTGCTTTGATAAGACCTTGGTTTATGTAAAATTTCACCAGTGAATCCTTTCAAAGTGATTATTTGCCCTGTTCATCAATGAATTTATCAGATTATCAGTACAAAATTCATGCCAGGTCTCCTCGAGACAGTATTAAGAACACTCACCATTTGAGCTGCTGCTGGTTGGATCTTCTGCATCTGAGAATAATTCATCTAATGATTTTATTTCACTTCTGGCACTTCCAAGAGATTCCTGGCTTTGTTTGGTGGAGCCTGTTTTAGGCAGAGCAATCTTTACAGTGTTGTCTTTCGTGGAGGATCTCATGGTATGTCTTGACAGGTTTCTGCCGGTGGGTGAAGGTGCTGGTGAATTAACTCCACTAAAAACACTTTCCTGTGAGTCTTTGTTGCGAAAAGAAGATGTTTTAGGTGACTCTGTTGGTGCAATTTCCTTATGAGACAGAGGAGGCCTTCCTGATGTCTTGTTCTTTTGAAGAACATGAAAAACAGATTTCAGTGTTAACTTCATTATTATGTTTAGAGTGCTAAAAAGGAAAACAAATCATTATGAGTAAAATAAGAGTAATTTAAGATGTTGTTTTAAGGTGTCAAGAAGTGAAGCTGAATCCTATTATGAGCAAGCCACAAATGCAAATTTAAAACTTAGTATCTTGTGTCATCTAAATAAAAAGTGACCAATTAAAACAACTCTATAAAAGTGTTTCTGGAAATACATAATCCAGCAAAGTTTGCATTTACCTTTCCATCTACCACAACCTTCTGATTCCCATTTCCACTGCGAAACCCCAAGGAGCTCTCCATCAGTTCTCTCATTTCCTCTTCATCACTATCCAGGTCCAGCTGTTGGTTAACCATAACGCTCTTTTTAGGGCTTTGGGTGCTTCCCTCTTCCTCAGAACTCGCATCCCTGTTGGTCCCACTCTCCTTGGTGGCACCAAAATTCTTCAGGTACTTCTTGCCCCTGGCACGGCGTTCGTGCCCTGAGGAGGAGGAGGAGGAGGAGGACTCTTCACGCAGAAGCTTCAGGCCCGGGTCAGTGTTCTGCGATTCCAGCTGCTTTTTCCGGCTCATGATCTTGCTCTCCAGCTGAGCCACTTTGCTGAGGACGGAGCTGGTCCGCGCGTGGGCTCCGTGTGCATTCCCTGCCCTCGCGGTGCTTTCCAGCGCCGGGCCCTGCCGGCTCCCACGGGCGATTCCATCGCGCCCCTTCAGGAACCTGCCCTGGCCCCACGGGGCTCTCCCGGCCGCCTCCAGCTCCGTGTCCACCACCCCGAGCCCGGCCGGGATGGTCCTGCCGTGTCCCTGCCGAGAATCCCAGAATCACCCAGGTTGGAAAAGCGCTCCCGGATCATCGAGTCCCCCCTGCGCCCGACCCCCACCTTGTCCCCCAGCCCCGAGCACTGAGTGCCACGGCCAGTTTGACACCTTCATGGGAGGGGACTCCAAACCTCGCTGGGCGGCCCCTTCCAAAGCCTGACCGCCCTTTCCAGGAAAAAAATTCCTCCGGAAATCCAACCTGACCCTCCCCACACCGCCAAACACGTGCTCAGGAACGGACTGAGCTGAGGCACCGGCGCCTCACCTGCCCTCGGCCCGCGGGGGACCGAGCGATCGCGGCCATCCCGGACGGGCCGGGGACGGAATGGAATGGAATGGGATGGGATGGAATGGGACGAGCCGGGGATGGAATGGAATGGGCTGGAATGGGACGGGCCGGGACGGCCCGGCCTGAGGCGGTGGCGGCTCCTCCGGGTACGGGCCAGCGCGGCCGTATCCTGGACACCGCCACTCCCCAACATCCCGCCCTCTCATTGGCTCCGCCCTCCCCGCCAGCCAATCCCAAGCAGGTTTACTGCCGCCGGCCCCGGAGGCGCCGACTACAATTCCCAGCATGCCTCGGGGCCGGTAAATCGGGATTTATCCAAACCTCCTGATGCGGGATTAATCCAGTCGTTCAGCAGGATTTCTGTTCAGGCTGCTGTTCAGGATTACACACTGCAGTCAAGGGGTTGTTAACTTTGGTGTATTTGATGCCAAAACATCTGATTCCAGGCCAGAAGAAGCTTCATTGGGTGAAGGACCTTTGTTTTGGGTGAAGGACCTTGGTTGGGTGAAGGCTGCTTTGACAAGTTTAAGGGTAATGAGGTACCATAAGTGGGTTTGCCCAGCAGAAAGCTGGGTGTAGGTCATCCAGCTAAAGGTCGATCAGTGCCTTGAACAGAAGAACATTCCAAGGGCACCCAAAGCCCTCCCTGGCCCTGCTTTGCCCACATGGCTGAGGCAGCTGGCAGAGTGCCCTTAGGAGGCATTTCTTCACAGAAAAGGTGATCAGGCACTGGAATGGACTGGATAAATATCTAAAGATTGGTGTCAGAGGATGGACCGGGCTCTGCTCGGTGGTGCTGAGCAATAAGACAAGAGTCAATGCGCAGAAATTGATGCCGAGGGAGTTCCACTGAACACGAGGAAGAACCTCTGAACTGTGCACTGGAGCTGACTGCCCAGAGACTGCGCGGAGTCTCCCTCACTGCAGATATTCCAAAGGGCAATAATCCTATGCCGTGCGGTCAGGGACGGGCACGACGAAGGGATCAAGTGATCCCTTCCAACCTGCCCCCTCCTGTGGCTCCGTGACTCCGTGAGTGCCCGGGCAGGTCTGCCCTCACCATCCCCGGAGGTGCCCGAGGGACGCCCGGACGGGATCTCCTCCCTCCCGCGGGTCGGACCCGCGATCACCTCGGGGCGGCCGCTCCCAGCCCGGCTGATCCCGCGGGCGGGCAGCGCCTGCCGGGCCGCGATAACGGAGCCCGCTGAAGCCGCGGCGGGTCCCGGCACCCCCCTCAGCACCCTCAGCCGCCCCCGGGGCCGCCCGGCCCGGCCGAGCCGGCGCCTCCCGCCCCTCGCCCCGCCCCGGCCGCGGCCCGACCCAGCGGCAGGAAGATGGCGGCGCTCATCCCCCTCAGCCAGCAGGTACCGGCCCGCGGCCCTCGCCTCAGCTCAGCCCCTCAGCTCAGCTCAGCTCAGCTCAGCCCGCCCGGGCGGCCCCGGGGAGCGGCCCCGGCTCCTGCCCGCGGGCGGGGCGGCCGGGCCGGGCCGGCGCTGTGTGCAGGGCCCTGTGCCCGGCAGGGGCTCGGCCTGAGGGGTGTGGGGGGGGAGACAGAGGGGGAGCGGGACCCGGGCGGGGCGGGGCGGCCCCCGCGGTGTCCCCGGGGCTCGGCGGGGCCGGGCTGGGGTCGGGGGGAAGCGAAGGCGTCCTCCCCTCACGGAGGGCCTGGAGCTGCGCCCGTGGGGACGGCAGGGAATGGGGGGCTCGGGGCGTTTTCCCTTCCCGGAGGTGCCGCGGGGGTTGCTGAGGGCGGGCGATGGGGCTGCGACCTGCGACGAGTCACCCCCTTTGTCGTGGTTGTTCCCCGGGCTGTCGGGACAGGGGGTCGTGACTGACAGGCTGGAGGGATGTTTGGGGGGCGCAGGGACCCCGGGAGGTGTTTGCTCGCCCGTCCAGCAGCAAGTCAGGGCCAGGCACATCCCCTGCCCCTTGGGAGAGGGTGACGAGGCTCGGGAAGGGGCTCTTTCCAGCTCTCTTTGGATGCTTGGGGACCCCGCGCTGATTTTTGTTGTTGCAAGTGTTTTTTTTTTGGTGTGTGTTTTTTTATTTTTTATTTTTTTTTCACTTTGTTTGGGTTTTTTTTACATTAATTTCTCACCCAAATATTTCCAACCGAAGCAGTTTATTCTTTTCCATCCCGCTGGGAATAGAGTTGGTTTACTTATTTCCTTTTTAAAGCAATGCCACCCTCCATGCCTGGAAATTAAAACTTATTTTCTACACTCTGCTAGGCCAGTGAGGAATTCAGAATGACTGCTCTTAGTAGTTCAGATTATTTAAATACATTGTTTTCCTTTTCATAATGGTCTTTTATTTGAGATACTTTGAAAATTTATCTCTCATTGGAGTAATGTGATGCTTGGATAATGTATAATTTGCTGCGTGCCATTGTTTTCCAATGGATTCAATGGAAACATTCTGATTTTAAACTTCTTTTTCTGCATTGAACTGTCAAGAGCAGTCTGGCTGTAACAGAGCAGTAAACAGAATTTCCCTTAATGAACTTAAAAAGGACATTAACAAACTTCCTCTTTTAATAGCCTCAGTTTGGTGATTACTAAGGAGATGTGTGCTGGTTACTGTAAATGCCAGAAATTGAATTAGAAGGAATAGGAGAGGCCACATGTGCTGTATGTTGAAATATGTCCACGCAGAAAGATTTAAAATAAGAATGTTGACTTCAGCATGTTGGGAGCTAAAAACAATAGGGGTAATTCCAGCTTGTGGAAGTGTTGGATCATATTTTGTCATTAATAATTTATCATATTAATGGTTTTAGGAAGGAATTCTTGGCTGTTGAGGGTGGGCAGGCCCTGGCTCAGGTTTGCCCAGAGAAGCTGTGGCTGCCCCATCTCTGGAAGTGTCCAAGGGCAGGTTGGAGCCACCTGGGCTGCTGGAAGGTGTCCCTGCCCATGGCAGGGGGTGGCACTGGATGGGTTTAAGGTCCCTCCCAACCCAAACCATTCTGGGTTTCTATACTATTTATATACCATTTAATATTTCATCTCTCTGGCTGGGCATGAACTCAGGTGAAGAGCAGGGCTGTCAGATCAGTTCTTGGAGCTCAGTCCAGTTTCAGTTTTAATGTTTGATAACTTTGTTCACATTCCCAGTGGTGTTCCCGCTGTACCAAGCACGTTCAACCTGCAGGCTCAGGAGGTTTTGGAGAGTAACCTCAGAGATATCAGGATCCTTTTGTAGCTCAGGTTTCTGAGACAGCAAGTAGCATAAGAGTAAAGTCATGTTTTTGGGGCAGCAGCACCTTCTTTTGGCTCTTGTCTTTGTGATCACCTTGTTTATCCCCTGTTACACTCTCTGTTTTCACCTATCCGTGTGGCTGAAAGAAAAGTTTCCAAGAGGAGGACACCAAGGAAAACAATTCAGCTGATCCAGAGCTCTTTGTGGCCTTGGGGTGACCTCAGGAAAGAGAAGTGGATGTGTGAATTGTGCTGGTGGCAGCAGCTTCCTCCTGCCTTTTCCCCAGGCCCAGGGGACTTGGATCAGTGTCCATGTGTGAACCACAAATGCGAGACTTAAACTTCACGTTTCTCCAGGAAATCCACCTGGCAGAACAAACAACAAGGCCCCAGAAGGATCTTTTGGGGAGCTGGTGGGAAGTGTCGGTCAGAGATGAGGTTTTGGGGACTATGGAGCAGGCACAGGAACCAGGGGGTGGTTAATCTGTGAGTCCCCTCTGACAGGTTGTGCTTTGACATCACCAACTGCAAACTCTCCCCAGTGTTTGTGTCTGGTTGGCAGCCCTTGGGCAGGTCCTGCCTCAGCAGATGCCACCAAACTGCAGGATCCTCCTGAATGATAGCGGTGTCGTCACGTGTGGCGGGGACGGGCAGATAGGGAGCTGTGCTATTTTTATCACTTGAACCCATTTTGTCTGGTCTGCTTCATCACAGAGGTGCAGTCATTTGGGGAAATCAGCCAGAGAGAGAGGCTGAATCCTTGGGAAATTCTGCAAACAGGGAATCGAGTGCTGAAGGGCTTCCCGGCAGCACCTGGGGGGGAATATTTTCCTATGGGAGAAACTTCCATCACCCTGGGGGGTTCCTGCCACCTCTGCCAGGCAACTCAGCTCCATGTCCTGGCTGGCAATCCCAAAGGAGGCTGACAGGGATGTCTGGTGATGGGTGAGATCACTCAGTGCTGCTGCTGGAGTGGTTTGCTCAGTCTCTTGGTACGAGTCCAGTCTCTCTGCACGCTCTGGGTCACTCATCAAATCACTCAGAGGAGCTTGGGGTTGGTGTTTGAGTCTTCTCTGAGCTTTCTGGTAAACAAGAGGTACAAGGTTTGGTGATGGTTGGATTTAGACTGGACAGACTATTTCCTCCTTGCACCTTTTCTCTGAAGGATGTGATTGCTGCCTGGGCAGGATATTTACACATCAGCAGAAAGAACAGTCAGGTTTATGAGTTATGGCCCAGGAATTCTTTTGAAATCCTGTCTACCTTCAGGAAGAGCTGGAGCTTCCAGAGGTTTGCTGCCATTAGAGAACGCAGCAGCTTGTTTTGTGGATGGATGGATAGAAGGGAAGCACATTTAAGATGCTTAGGAAACTGTTCTGAAAACGCAGGATTTTCCTATCCAAACAGAGCTGTTAATCCTCCAAGAGTCAGCGTTTGCTTGTGCTCAGTTGGAGGGTTTAGTTATTTCAGATGGCTCCTTAAATTAATATTTGGCATGTTGGTAGTAAATTCACAGCGAGGTTCTCTTGGTGTCAAATACAATTTTATTGGGCTTTTCCTTTGTCCTTTTTCTGCCTTCCAGAATCTGGAATGTGTGGGGATGACAGGGAGGCATTTGGGAGGTGACATCCCAGGTGTCTCACTGGTGGCCTGGAGGTGCAGAGAGGTTGTCTCAGGCAGGCTTTGGGGCCTTGTGACACCTCAGCATCTTGCTCATTCAGCTGTTTGTGGGGTTGTTTCGTTGATTGATTGCTCTCTGAGGCCTTTAAGTTGGTTTTGCCTGGGTTGATTTTGCTGTTGGCACTGAGGCTGCAGATCAGTGTGCAGGGACAACCTGCACGTGAATTCCTGTGGCAGCTGGAGGAGGCAGGTGAGAAGGTGGGTTTTGGGGGGGATTCTGCCTCTTTTGGCATTTCAGTTCCCATCTGCTTGGAATGTCAGCAGGAATGTCAGCAATCTACTGATGCAACTTGAAATACCCCCCCAGCACTGTCAGGGAATTGTGGCACTGTCAATTCACTCTTCATTCTGGTTTTGTTTTATTCTGTTTCAGTTTAAGATCCTAGTCCTGAAAATGCCTAATCACAGACACAGAGCTTGGTGTGTCTGTGTGGATAAAACTGCCTGCTGGAAATATTCCATAAGGATGTTTCCAGTGCAGGGGGAGTCAGGTCAGCACTGGGTTCAGAGCTGGACCTTTGCCATCAGCAGTTCTCATGCTGAGATCTGAAATGCTTGGGCAAAACCTCATTTCCACGTAGTTGTTGATTAAAAGTGTGAGGAGAAGTTGGAATTCTGGGGAAGGAGGAGTTCTGGGAGGTGACAGGAGCCTGTTGGCTGCAGGTTTTGTGGGATCACCATTATCTACACTTAAATTTCAATATCCGGTGTGGATGACAGCAAATTAACACCCTGGTTTAGATTTTTTTTGTTGTTGTTGAAGTAATACACCAAGTGCAATGCTTTTTTTGCTATCAGCTGTGATTGCTGTTCATTCTGTTTTCTTCCTTGTGTTTCAGTTTTCTACTGGGAACCCAATATATGAAACCTACTACAAACAGGTACGTTCTTACAAGAAAAAAAGGCAAAAATAAAGAGTAATTTCTTCTTCCCCAAGATTTTCCTCTCTCTCCTTTCCCCATTGCAGTGCTAAATTGTTCCTGCTGATGCAGTTTGTGTAACTCCTGACCTAGAGACCCTGCATTTCTCATCTCTGCTTCCACAACAGTCATGGTGAATGTTGATTTTTCTCTTTCAGGTAGATCCAACATACACGGGGAGAGTTGGGGCAAGTGAAGCTGCTCTGTTCCTTAAAAAATCCGGTCTCTCTGATATCATCCTTGGAAAAGTAAGTGGAAGGAATTGGAGAACGCAAGAATTGTCTGTACACTTTTGTTTTTTTAAGTGAAAGGACAAATCTACAAGGAAAAAAAAATCCTCTTTTGTGTGACATTTCTGTTGTTAACCTGGCAGTGAAATAAAATTGCACCTCATAACTCGAAAGCTGAATGAGCACTTGGAGAGGGCACAGGGTGGGAACTGTTGAGCTGAGTTTTATTTGAAATTCACCGTGGCTTTCATTTTGTGTCTCCACAGATATGGGATTTGGCTGACCCAGAGGGGAAAGGATACTTAGATAAACAGGTAAATGAAATCTTCCTGTGAGCCTTGTTTGCAAGCAAACCCTGCTACCAGCAATAGTTACCCTTGGCTTTTTTTGAATGGAGTTTTTGTTGACAAGATGAGGTGTGTTGTTTTTTTTTTTCCCAGCACTTCTCATACCTAAGTGCATTACTCAGCAAGGCTGCTGGAGAAGTTTGGATCCCATTTTCTGCCTCTCTTTTGTTTTGTAAATAATCAGCGTGTGTGATATGTGGATACACAGTCACTGAGCCACAAATACAAAATATGATTTAAGATATATTTAGAAGACACTCTTGCACGTAAAAAATCTAACCAGCATCACTAAAAATGACTTGGAATATCAAATAGCAAGTTACTTTGTAGATATTGATGCTTTTTTTAAAAAAAAAAAAAAAAAACATTATTAATATTTAAGAACGTTGACGTTCACTTATGGGAGAGTCCTTTATAAAAACCAACTTCCAATTTTCTACCCTTTGTCTCCCGTTATTGTAGTTGTCCCTGTGGGGCTCCCCATCCCTGATTTCCTGAGCTACCTGTGCACAGTGCTAATAAAAATCATCGCTGGGTTATTTTTCCTGATGGGAACTGTTTTCCATGGACCGTTTCAGGGTTTCTACGTCGCGTTGCGCCTCGTGGCCTGCGCCCAGAACGGCCACGACGTCAACATGAGCAGCCTCAGCCTGACGGTGCCACCCCCCAAATTTGTGAGTGACGTCCACTCAAATGTTTGCGTGTGTTATGTGGGAAATAATCAGTTGGAATGTTGGAATAATCCCCTGTTCCAGAAAGGTGGTGCTGGGGCTGCAGGTTGATGGCAGAGCGTTCCTTGGGACGCTGCCTGCCACGGTGGGGTTTGCGAGTATAACTGCTCAGCTTGGGCAGGAGGCTGATGTGGGTGAACTCTGCTAAAAAGGAAGAAAAGAAGGTTATTTTGGTGCTGGGGCAGCAGGAGTGGGCAGTAAAGGGCACAGCTGCAGCTTTGCTGTGTGTTTGGGTATCTAATGCACCAGTAAATGTCCTTATCCAAGTGCTGGGATAGCGTAAATGACTTTTCTTTAGGCACAGCCTCTTTTCCCCAGGGTAGTTAAACTTCGTGTCTGTAACCAATTAGGAAGCATTAGAGACACAAGTCTGTGTGTTTATATATATATAAATATACACATAAATAAAAATTCTCCCTTTTTTTTTAGCATGACAGTAGCAGCCCTTTGCTGATCACACCACCTTCATCAGACACTCACTGGGCTGTCAGGGTAAGTGTAAAAGGCAACACGTTCCAGCCATTCTTTAAGAGGGAATCTTTTCCTTTGTGTGGGATTTTTCCCAGTGAGAGAATTTTGTATCCAGTGGATTTCCTGTTTCAGAAATCCTCCCTTTCTGGGCAGACTTGAGCACAACAGAGAATACTGAGGTGTAGTTTGACATGTGTAATAAGTATTAAACCACCCTTTGACAACCCCTGCTGGGATGTTGTTAAGACACAATGAATTTTAATCTTCTGCCTGGATTTCTTCCAGAATCCTACAATTAGGCACTTTCATTGTTTGTCTAAAGCAACCCCACTGAGAACAGCAAAGTATTTCACCAAATCCACCCCGAATTATTAATTTACAGCTCGAGTTCCTGTGTTCTAGTTAGTATTCAGTGATACATGTAATATATATCATTGGGGGAAAAAAAGGATGCATATATGTTAATTTTTCAAATGCAAACATTTCCAAAAGGTAGAAATTTAATAAAATAACTTGTCATGCTGCTTATTTCTTTGGACTCACATGTTGTGCTTCGAAGTGGGAAGAAGAGATTTTAGTTCCACGGAGTTTATCCAAGTTTCTTTAAAACAAGAAACACATCCTGGCTGCTGCATGGTGAAATCTCTCATACAAGGTTCTAAAATTGAACTTAGCTTTGAAATGAAGCTCTTAAATCTCTCTCCGTGGGTTTACATTTCAATGGAGCACCGTGGCTCTTGGAAATTTAGGCTGAACACATCCCCGACCAGCCTTAACTCCCTGCAAGATCTCATTTTCGACACTCACGCAGGCACACTTTGTTTTTTACTTATTCAGACTATTTCTTGCCAACTAGGTGGAAGAAAAAGCAAAGTTTGATGGTATTTTTGAAAGCCTTTTGCCAGTAAATGGTTTACTTTCAGGAGACAAAGTAAAACCAGTACTGATGAATTCAAAGCTACCTCTCGATATCCTCGGCAGGGTAAGTGTGTGCTGTTTGAAAAGTTTTGCTGGTCTCTGTTTAAACTTCTCCTGGTTGCAGTGGGAAATATTTAAATGCCATTTATGGTTTTGGCTGAGGTTCTGCACTGATTGCATGCTGCCAAGCAAGAACACTGAGTCTCTGAAGTCTTCCACTTAGAAATAAGAGTAATAGTAGTAATTTAGGCCCTGGAGTAGATTGGTTTAATTATGTATATTTTTGATTTTGGTTGTTTAAAAGCAAGGAAAAAGCTTTTCTAAGCTTTCATAATATTAGCTTTTATAGCATTGTATCCCACTGTTTTGTCATTTTTACAAATGGGAGTTATTAGACATCCCATTAAACCCATCCACTGTTGGTACAGGAGAACACCCCAGAACATCCTCATTTACTGTACCTGTCAAATTGTCAAGTTGTTTTTTTTTTCCCAGGATCTGAATTTAGTGCATCCATTGCATATTTGCCAAGGAGGCAAACCTGAAAGTATTTTTTCTGCTCCCACTTAAAACACATTCTTTAACGCTTTGCACATTTACATGCCTGAGAATGAATTCGTTCTGGGTCACATCCTTATAATCTCTTCAGGAAGAGCTGCCTCTTTCTCTGTATTATCTACAAAATCTAAGCGTAACTTGTTCTGAAAACCACCTCTGAATGCTTTTAGTCAGCTTGATGACTCCTTCATTGCACCATAGGAAGATGAAAAACCTGCCTGTGTTGCAACCAGAATTTGTTAGAGCCGGTGTTGATTCACACTGGCCAGAAAATTCATCAGAGAGTGTTCAGATGGTTTAATATAACTAACATGATCTTCACCAAAACCTGTGCAGAGCCTTCAGAGTCATGTTAATTGGATGAATGCACAAATTGTAACTTGCTCTCTAAATCATTTTTTTAATCTTCATTGCTGTAGGTGTGGGATCTCAGTGACATTGATAAAGATGGTCACCTGGACAAGGATGAATTTGCTGTGGTAAGTTGCTTTTCAATTCTCAATTCCCAGCCCGGTCTGGCTGAGCAAAGAGCTCGTTCTTTTTTTCTCAAGAGCTTTGCAGCTTCCTCTGCCTCAGTTCACTCTTCTGATCTGCATTGTTCACACAGAGCTATTAAATGATCTTCCTCAAATCCATCCCCTGGCTCTTGCCCATGCCATCGAGCTTAAACTTGTTGGAATTGGTTTCCATCTCTAATCTTACACCCTTTGTTTTACTGTGATGTAAATGACTGACACTGGAAGATCTCTCTCTTTGTTTTTTTTTTTTCCTGCTAACTGTCAATGTTATCTGACCTTTTTTGCCTTTGCAGGCAATGCATTTGGTTTATAGAGCTCTTGAGAAAGAGTCAGTCCCTTCACAATTGCCCCCTTCTCTCATACCACCTTCCAAAAGAAAGAAGATGCCGGCGTTCCCCGGAGCCGTCCCCGTTCTCCCTGCCAGCCCCCCACCCAAAGACAGCCTGCGTTCCACGCCCTCCCACGGCAGCGTCAACAGCCTGAACAGCACAGGCAGTTTATCTCCCAAGCACAGCATCAAACAACCACAGGTACACATCTTCCTTCCTTTCTTTTTCTTTATTTTTTGGGGGTCAGGAAAGCTGCAGGAAAAAAAAAAAAAAAAAAACAACCAAACCCGAACGTGCTCTTTGATTTCTGCCTCGTGCGAGCGGTTGGGTTTGGAGAGTGAAGTGAGAATGATCAGACCTGGAAGAATGGAGTAGCAAAGGAATTTAATATCAAATGTAAGGAGTTTAATGTCAGAGAAAGCATTAATCAGACTGGGAAGAGTGGAAGAAGAACAGGTGAATTGCAATCAGGGTGACCACGAGGTGGCAAATCTTAGGGGGGGAATTTTCACTTTCTATGTAAAGTGAACCCATGGAAAGGTTTTACTCATGTATCTACTGTAATACCAAAGAAATCATTAACCTACCTTCTAAATCTCCTGTTATTAGCATGAAGACTTAACATGCTTAATTGGATCTGTATTCCCAAAGAATTAACTCTTTTCAACTGGTGAAGAGCTGTTTATCAGTGTTTTATTCAGATAAAGAAGATGAAATTAAACCATGCAGTGAAAATAGTTATTTCCCAGTCAGACTGGACTGGGTATCCAGCTCTGGGTGATGCATCTGCTCAGTGTGTTGATAAAGGCTGTTCTTCTCCTCCTGAACTGTCCCCCTTTGTTTTGCAGCCAGCTGTGAACTGGGTGGTGCCACTGGCTGAGAAAGTGAGATACGATGAGATTTTCCTAAAAACAGACACGGACATGGACGGCTTTGTGAGTGGCCAAGAAGTGAAGGACATTTTTATGCACTCAGGTCTGTCTCAGAATCTCCTAGCACATATATGGTAAGAATTCCCTAGTACCTGTGTTTTTATAATTATTTTTTTCCAGCCAGAATTGTGGGCCTGACGTTAATTTTTTTGTTTCTAAGGGTGATCTGTTTTTTTTTTTTCCCAGGGCTTTGGCAGACACGAGGCAGATGGGGAAGCTCAGCAAAGATCAGTTTGCACTTGCCATGTATCTCATCCAACAGAAGGTCAGCAAAGGGATTGATCCTCCCCAAGTGTTAACCCCAGATATGATCCCCCCCACGGAGAGGAACACTCCCCTCCAGGTGAGTCAGTGATTATTTGTAGATAACGCTGAGCTTATGTGCTTTGAAATGGGCTTTAAGTAGGAATTTTTTATATTTTTTTTTTCCTTGAACATTTGAAAATATTTGTAAATTTTTTAACCAAGACTGATAGTAAAGAAAAATGCAGTAAAACATTCCATAAAATAAAATACTCCATGAAAGGAGTCACAATGCTGAAAAAAGCCTAGCGTGAAAAATACTCCTTTGTCATAGAGAAAGTTTTTAAATTAAACCCTTTTATATTTTTATTTAACATATAAATGATAATATATTTGTCTATATTTATATATGATCTCTATATCCAATTTTAACCCTGGGGAACTCTTAACAGCAAATATTAAAAGCTGGTTGAGGAACCTGTGATCAGCACCAGATTCCTGTAGAGAGGAATATTTTCATGGCTAAATGAAGAGTGCTGACTGCCTAGTCCTGGGATTCATCCCTGTGCCATTCCAGTCCCCAGTCCTGCATCCGTCACTGCTGATGGATGGATTCCACTTCCCTGCAGCTTCTGATCCTTTGCTAAACCCTTTTATTCCTTCCCTCCACAGAGAATTTCTGGAAGTGAGATGAACAAACCCTCCTGTTCTGCCAACACCTTCACCTTTTCTCTAAACTGCACTGTATTTTTCTTTACTTCTCGCTTTACTCCTCCTAACCAGAAGCCTTTTGGAGCTGTAAATAACTCACCTGCTGCTGTTGCTGTGGCCCTTTTAAGGTTTCTCCTTGTCCTTTCCCTGTAGACCCTGGCAGGTTACTTGACCCCTGTAGGAGCTGAGATCTCTGCCCTGCCAGAAATGCGCCGTGTGAGTAACTGAGGCACCCCCAGGGCTGCCCCTTTTTGCTGGGGGTGACATCAGAACCTGCCTTTCTTTGTGTCTCCACCTTTGCCTGGCTCTGCTGTTGAGTTGTGGCCTTGCTCGTGGCATGATGGGCTGTCCCAGCAGTGTGGAGAGCCCAGCTCTGGCTGCTGAGCTGGTGAATTTATTCCATCAGGAACTGGGAGTGGGTTGGTCTGTCAGGTTGTTTCTGGGACAGAAGTTACTCGTGGCTTAGTCCTCTGAAGCTGAGCAGTAAATAAAGCTTTAAACTTCCCATTATTTCCAACTAATTCTAAGTTTTTTTCAGTTATGTTTAGCTGAGCATAACATGAGATCAGCTGAGCTCAGTGAGCTTATTTAGTGGTTCTCATCCTAAATGCAGCAGCTCATTTTCACTTATTTCATGGTCATGTTGGTGGCACCTGCCTGTGACCCTGCCCAGCATTCAGTGCAGGTCTCTCAGCAAAGCTCTGTCCGGCCTGACAAAGTCGGAGTGATGTTAGAAGATTTTGATTTGCTACCTTGAGGAATTAGTCTGGATTATTTTCATTTATGATTATTACGTAATGGCATATTGCAAAAGAAATGATGGATTTAATTCAGTTTAATTATTTAAGCTGTATACTCACCTGTTCGCCTTTTAGTCTGCTGATTTTGGTTTATTGATCAGATTCTTGGTTAGTTTTTTATGTTTAGTAAAGCCAGGCTCTCTGTGGTTATCTCAGCAGCCTCAAGGTGGGTGAAGCAGGCAAACTGCTTTCTTATTCTTAAAATGCTGTTTAAAAATTGGAGCTCTCCTGTGTTTTCATGCTAACAGGGAGTTCAGGGCTGCAGTTTTTGCTCAGTTGGGCTTTCTCAGAGCAGTCCTTTTTTTTATAATAACCAATGTTGTACCTAATGCTGAGATCCCTTCTTTATAACTGCTGAGTCTTCTCTAAAAGACAAGATCTAAAAGAGCTGAAGAATTGCAGGACTTGCCATGAATTTGTGGCAGGGCTCAAGGAGACTGAAATCACAGTCGTTACTCACCTATTGGCTGTAGCAGAGCTGGGTTTTAGGTGTGGAATTTTAATTTTAGCTCTCCCCCAGCCTGCAGTTCATCTGTTGTCACTGTGCATGTCCCCTCAGTGCTGTGTGTCTCAACCCTTGGGCCTGTCCAACAGCCACGGGGACAATTCTGCTGTCCCTCAGCTGCAACTGTGGCATGTCCTGCTTGTTGCACAATCACCTGATGTGCCTCGTGGCACTTTGCAGATTCATATCCCGAGGATTTTGTATCCCACCCTCTGTCCCCAGCCTTTGTTGCCACTCAGCATTTTAATTGACTGTTTGGTTCTTAACAGGACAGTGCAAGTTCTGTGGGATCAGGAGAATTCACAGGAGTGAAAGAGCTGGATGATATCAGTCAGGAAATTGCTCAGCTGCAGAGGTAAAGCTGTGGACTGCTCACAAAATCTTGAATAATAACCAAATAATCTACAGTACTGATGTGTCAGTTTTCTTGTAGCCGCTTCATAATTATTTGTCACTGAAATTGGTGGCAGATCTCCCACTGAGATCTTAGTTATGCAAAGCCAGCCTGGATTCTGCTTCAGGACATTGATTATGGCCACAGATAGCAATAATTGATACATATAAACCTTTACTCCTTTAAAAAATATATGGGAATATGTGCTGGCATTTTTAGCTACGTGGTGTTTCCAGAAAAATGTTTAATTGTTTTTTGTGTGTGTTGTATTATTTCACTAATAATAAATACATGTGCTTGTTTATCTGGCAGAGAAAAATACTCCCTAGAGCAGGACATCAGGGAAAAGGAAGAATCAATCAGACAGAAAACTAACGAAGTTCAGGTAAAATCTTTTGTTTCTCCTTGGTAGCTTTCATTTTAATCCCAATAAAATATGGGAATGAAGCTTTTTTTTTCGTGTCTTTGTGTTGCTGCTGGGCAAGTCTGTCTTTGTTTCATGGGATTTTCCTCTGAGAAAATCCGAGGAACTTGAAATTTGAAATCTCAGAATTTCAAAATTAGAGAAAGCATTTCTGATGGAGAACAGGAAAATAAAATTCTTTCATCTGTTTTTTTCCTCAGGAGCTGCAGAATGACCTGGACAGGGAGACGAGCAGCTTGCAGGAGCTGGAGGCTCAGAAACAGGACGCCCAGGACAGGCTGGATGAGATGGACCAGCAGAAAGCCAAACTCAAGGACATGCTCAGTGATGTCAGGCAGAAATGCCAGGAGGAAACACAGGTGGTGAGTGTGTGGAATTTTGGACGTGCCTCACGGGCTTTTGATGGAGGAAATGCTGTTTATTTCGTGGAAAAACTCACTTTCTCTGCTCGTTTTGAGTGTAAATAGCAATTTACACACAAACACAGAAGGATTTTGCTCACCTGAATGTACCTCTTATTGTGGTCCTAAAGAGGGGGTTGAGGCAGATGATCTCCAGGGCTCCCTTTCTACAGAAATTGTTGTTCTGAGAATATAGAAAACATTTATTCAACCTGACAAGGCAGTGGAAAAGCATCAGAGACAATCCCTGCCAGTGGTGCAGGTTTTGAGCCTCTAAATATCATCAGGATTGCGTTAAAAGTGGGTTTTCAGGGAGATAGAATTGTCAGTGGAAACAGCAAGTCACCCTAAAGTAGAAACTTAGTGTGGAACGTTGTGTGAGCAGGTGGGGAAGGAAGAAATGGATCAGCAGCTCTGCAATTTTAAACTCTTATAAAGTAAATCAACTTCGTGCTCCTTTTTTAAAATGTTTGAATGGAAGAGGGGCCAGGTGCTGAAAACTGCAAGGTAACCACCTAAGGAACACCTGTAATTACCTGTGTAATCAGTGTGGTATTTCTGTGAATTAAAATAGTGTTTCTTGGGTTTGTTGACTGTGTTTTTATCATGCATTTTGTGCAACATCAGAAGCAGCATTTCATTGTATTAAATTCTAACTATTTTCCTTAACAATTGATAGGTTGCTTTTTTATTTATACTATGAATTCATCATTTAATAAGTTACATTTATGTCAAATTTCACTCTTTTTTTTTTTTTTTTCCAGATTTCATCACTAAAAATGCAGATTCAATCTCAGGAATCAGATTTAAAATTACAGGAAGATGACCTTAACAGAGCAAAAGCAGAGCTGAACCGCCTGCAGCAGGAAGAGACTCAGCTAGAGCAGAGTATCCAGGCTGGAAAAGTACAGCTTGAAACAATAATCAAATCTTTAAAATCAACCCAGGAAGAGATAAACCAGGTATTCATTGTGGTTTATACAGTTTTTTTGCTGCTTGAAAGGCTGGAAAAATAATTTTTTAGAAAAAAAGAAAAGTGCTGGCTCGTGAAATAAACCTTTTTTTTGGGCTGGTTTATTCCCAGTGTGTGTCAGGAAAAAATTCAGTTCTGGTGGGGGGGAAAATGCAACTTTCTGGCAACGTGGTCAATGAAAATTTTCCTTCTCAGGCAAGGAATAAACTGTCCCAGCTGCAGGAGAACCAGCAGGAGGTCACCAAGAGCATCGAGGAGTACAATGAAGCCCTCAATGGCATCCATGGGGGCAGCCTGACCAACTTAGCAGACATGAGTGAAGGCCTTGGGCACTCAGAAAGGAGCAATTATGGAACTCTGGTAAATAAAATGACTGTTTTTCAGTGTGTTTGGCAACGATTAAACTGGTGACTCGCAGCTGATGGGAGATTGTTGGGGTTTGGTGTATCAGCAGAGCAGGGCAAGGCTTTACTGCTGGTGGAAAAAACTGATTTTTGAGCCTCCTGTTGGTTCTTGTGCTGGGATTTTGTGCCTGTGTGACTGGAACAGTGTGGATATGGGAGCAAACTGTGATTCTGCAACCAAAAAGGTCCTTTTAACCCTGGATTTGTCACCTGGCACACGTTCAGATGTTTTTGTTTGTTCTTGCACATTGTCCAGTTACCTTCTCTTGCTGGAAACTCCCCTCTAACCATCTCTTTCCTTCTTGTTTCCAAGAGAAGCTCCACAAATTTCTCCTTTGCAGTGATTTTTTTAGCACATTATTGTTCCCTTCTCAAAATACATGGATGCTTCTCTTCTGCTTCAATAATTCCAGCACTGTTTATCTCATTTATTGTGTTTTCTTTTAATCACTATTTGTCCCAAAAATCACAAGATCCTTCAGGTTCTTAAAGATTTTTCCAACCAGTTTCTATTGGATATCTATTGCTGATTTAGATATTAAATAATCCTCTAAATCACAAGAACTTTCATTCTTTTTAAAGCCTGTTTCTTCTTCTAAATACAAAATTGCCCAGGTGCTTGATTGTGCTTGCACATCAGCAAGGAAAACTTGTTTTCCAGAGCCCTTGGAAGCACAGCATTTGCTGTGGGTTTAATATGAGGTTAAATATATGTCAGGTACAGTAAATAATCAGCAGGCAACTGCTGTTTGAATGCCCTGCCTTCAGCTTGGTCTGTAAAAACAGACTGCTCAAAAGAAGATTCAAACCAATTGAAAAACGTGGCCTTAAAACCCTTCACTGCTTCGTTTCTCTCCTTGCGTGGCTTGCATAATATTCTATTTAATTTCCACTGCAAACTTCCAGATGTTTCTCTCCCTTGCAAAACCCCAGAATCACTTACTGGAAGAAGACACCAGTGGTGTGTTCATGGTCATTTCTTTTTAAAACCATTTGTGCCCCTTTCCTGTTTCTCAATCCTTCCTTCCTCTTCCTCCTCTCCCTGCTGTTCTGAGCAGTGTTAATGGAGCTGTTTTCATCTGCACCTTGTCAAGGGATGAAAATGGGGCTGGGGGGCAGTGTAAGTGGGTAGTTGTTGCTGGGTATTCCTCATTTTTGGGATGGAATGGCTCTGGTTTTCCCAAACCATCCCAAAGGAACATCCTCAGGAGGCTTCAGAACTCCAGTTTGCTGCTTGTCCCCGCTGTTTTTTTTTTTTTTTTTTTGCAACTTGACCAAGTTCCATTTGGGCTCTGCTGTCATCAAATCCTGTCATGAATTTCTGTCCTCAAAATGTGGGGGTGACTCTTGAAGGGGGAAATGACTGCTTGGAGCTTTCAGAAGGAGTTAATAAGAAGCAATCTGCAATATGAGCAGGAATTCCTTGTGTTTGGAGCCCACAAATAGCCCAGAAAATGTTTTAAAGAAGTGTCTTCACCTGAAGCTGAGCTGTCAAATGATGTGGGGGAGGGATTTTTTTGGCAGTGTGATGGTTGAGGGTTGATTTGTTTTCATTATTTAAGGGATTGAGAATTGAATATTTTAATATGGGTAACAGTTGAACCTTTAATTGTTATAAGCTCTGTTATCTTCTGATGTTCTGTGTAGCCCTGGGCTATGTTATTTCCTTCTAGCCTGTAATTACTTCAACTTGCAAGTCATGCATTCAGAAAGTCCTTCAGGAAGTCATTTTTAAGATCCCCATTTAGGAGCAGTTCTGTGCCAGCTGAGTGTTCTGATCCTGGTAAGCTGCTCTGATGTTTTTCCACTTCGTTTTTAGGATGATCCATTTAAGAACAAAGCCTTGATGTTCACCAACAACACCCAAGAATTGCACACAGACCCATTCCAGTCAGAAGATCCTTTCAAATCTGATCCATTTAAGGGAGCAGACCCTTTCAAAGGCAGTAAGTGCCCTGACACCTTCCAAGACCAACTGTTGAGTAAATGATATTTTCGCACACTTTTATCATCTTGCTAAATATTTTTCTTTCTCCGTAGGTGACCCATTCCAGCACGATCCTTTTGCAGAACAGCCCCCTGCTCCAGCAGGTAAGAACCCTTTGGATCACAGGATACCTGTGGCACGTGGACACATTGGGTGCTACATTTCATATATTCTATTTCCCTTTTCCTGCTCCTTTCAGATCCCTTTGGAGGTGATCCCTTTAAGGAAAGTGACCCATTTCGGAGTTCTGCCCACGAGGATTTCTTCAAGAAACCAGTGAAGAGCGACCCATTTACCTCAGATCCATTCACAAAACCCCCTGCTTTACCCTCAAAGGTCGGGCATTTTTAAATCTACACTCAATGGATTCCTTTACTGTTGACAGGCTCGTTATCTGAAAGCTAAAAGGAGTGAAATAACTCAAAATATTTTTCTCCTAACTGGTGAAATACCATTAATTTTACCCTTAAAATTTGATATGGATTGTTGAGGCAATCAGCAGTGTTCTCTCTGCTTCCATGATAACGAGGTGCAGTAAGGTGGATATTTTTCATCTCTGTTGGGAATTTCAGGCCACCATCACCCACTAATTCCCACCATTCCCTCCATTCCATGTGCAGTGACAAAGGGAATGGAACTGAGGAACTGAGGTTAATGGATTCTTGAGCTCCTTGCACAGAACACACCTGTTAAATCACAGTTACAATGATATTTATATATATTTATACAGCAGTACCCAGACTCTGGATTAATAATAATATGAATGCCTGACTTGAATATTCAGTTTATTATTCTGTTGCTTCAAGACTGAGCCCTTCTGGGTGTGTTTTCCTATTTTGGTAGCTAATGTTGTATTTCAGGATTTTTTTTGCCCTTGTCACCTGTAGGTTCTGGGTGTTTCGTTCAAGGCTGTCAACAGCCAAATTTCATGTAATCAGTTTATTTTATCCCACTCCATTTCCACTGAGCAGAGTGATCTGAAACTGGAGATAACTGTGATTTTTGATGTGCATAAAAAGGCAAGGTCACAGTGCAGCAGAGCAATAATTCTGTGTCTCTGTTCTCATTTAGCCTGACCCTTTTGAAAGCACTGATCCTTTTACGTCTTCCAGCATCTCTTCAAAAGGTCCAGGTAAGAGGAAAACGTTTTCTCATGAAGATGAATAAGGAGGTATCTTTTTTTATAAAAGAAGAATCAAATGTAAGAGTTGAAAATAGAGGGTCTTGTGAACTGTTGGCCAAAAGCATCATGATCCTGCTGTGGGTTATGACACCATATATTTCAAGTTTTTTCTTATTTTCTTTGGGTTTTTTTTCCCCTCCAAACAACTAGTACAAAACCAATTGTCTTATGGAATTCTCTTGTAACCTCTCATGCCATGTATCAAAACAGAGGTGTGTTTTCATCACCTGCCCAGTTTTGTGCTTCACTGGCACTTCTTTGTCCAAAATAACTTCTTTCTCCCTGTTCCAGATCCCTTTGGAACGCTGGATCCATTTGGAAGTGGTGCTTTCAGCAGTGGGGAGGGATTTGCAGACTTCAGTCAGATGTCAAAGGTAAAGGTTACAAGGAAAGCAACTGTCCTTTAAAAAAGGAATGTGCAGATAAATCAAAAGTGGGTGATGTGATTGTAAATTCTCAGCTGACAACCCAGGTCTGTTCCTTTGCTTTCTGATCAGCCCCACCAGTTGCTTAACAAATCATTTCCCACCCATGGCAGATGTGGCAGATTCATCGGGGATAAATCGACTTTTCAAACACCAGCTGAGCAAAAAGGAATTTCAAAAGAAATTACCTTGCAGTGTTTTAACTTCTAAGAAGGGTATTCAGTTACTTCATAGAATTATAGTTTTCCTGACTTGTTCCTGAACTTATCAGGGAATTACTAAGCTTGGAAAAGACCTCTAAGATCATCAAGTCCAGCCATTAACCAAACACACGAAAGATGTGTGAACTCTTTACAGTCACTCAGCCTTTCCCATGTTTTAAGTGGGCAATTTTTTGTTCATTTTAAGTGGCAGATGAAGAGAAAGGTTCAGGATGCACCTGAAAAAGAAAAAAGGATAATTTAGAAAGGAGAATAAAAATTTTTATCTTCCTGAGGTGGAGTTTGGAATTTACAGTTTCCATCAGCTCCTTCTGTTTGTTCCACAGTAGTGCTGGAAAATTGTGGAGTAAATGTTAAAAATAAAAGAGATTATCATATCACCTGGAATAATTACTTTTCATGGTTTTTTTTTTTTTCTAACTTTTCATACCATTTTGGGGAGGTTTTCAACTCTCCACTAGATGGCAACAGCCTTTAGCAATATCGATGTGTCTGGCTCCAGGTTTAAATTTTAGCAAAGGTTTGACTACAAGTTTTACCTTTGCTCCCCAAATCCCCCTTTCTTCGTTTCCCAGTGACAAATTTCCCTGCAGGGCATCATTTTTGTGCCCTTCTTATCCACCAGGAGAGTCCTTCAGAAGAGCCAGCTGAGCACAGGCAGCATTAAATCCATGTTTTTGGTATTTTTCCCTGAGCTTTTGCCACAGCCGGGTTTCACTTGGAAAAAAAGTTTGGAATAAAGCTTGGAATCAAGCTCCCCATTCTGCAGTGTTTTTCCAGGGTCTTCCATGGTTCTGTTTGTCACAGTGGAGGTCAGACTGTGGTGGAAAAAAAAAAAAAAAAAAAAAGTAGAGAGTTTTACTTCCTTTTATTTTTTTTTTCACCAGCTTTTTGCTGGCACTAAAAGTTCTCGAAGTAACGCTGTGATTAGAACACAATTTGAGTGTTAACGAATAACTCTGGACATCTTGAATTTTGATTAATTAATGAAAACGGAGGGTTTCCCAGTGCGCTGACATCCTTTCTCTTCCCTCTTTCTCCTCCTGCAGTCAGCAGCTCCTGACCCCTTTGCCTCCTCTTTTGGAGGGGGGGGATTTTCAGATGACCCTTTCAAAAGCAAAGCAGACACCCCAGCGTTGCCACCCAAGAAAAACGTCCCTCCACGGCCCAAGCCACCCAGTGGTAAGGAGGTTTTATTTTTCTTCTTTTGACAGCCACTCCCCCCAATTTTCACTCTATTAATGGATATAAGGGTTTTCTAGCTCGTTATCTTATGTTTCAACAGCAGAGGAAGGGATGAGGTTATCAGTAAATTGGCAGGATTGTCAGTAAACCAGACTGGAGCTCTTCAGATTGGAAAACAGGTGATGAGGGAGTGGTGTGGCAGATCTGTAAAATCATTTGTGGCAAGGGAAAGTGGTGGGATAAAAAAAAAAGTCTCTCTATTCCAAGTAGGCAACACATCAGGTTAGTAAATGGCACCTTCAAAATGAAGAGGTTTGCTTTTATACAGTCATTTAAATTCAGGATTTGTTTCTGTGTTTGCCAGAGAATGTGGTGAATGCAAAAAAAAAAAAAAATTAAATGGGCT